AGTGAGTATAACTCATGGTTTACAGTATGTTTTAGCTGGCACTAGGTGGTGAATAACATATTCCCAGTACCTTTATAGCAGTGAAGAGTTAACATGCCTTCTGTGGATGTTTTATAAGTGCATTTTATATCACAATAAAAATTTTTCTCTTTAAGTTGTATATGTTTTGTTCTGCTTTTCTTCTATAACTTTAAAAAATATTTTGGATAATTTTGCATAGTTGAATATGTTGTTATAGGTTACAAATCCCTTTCATTAATTAGCCTGCTTAAGTTCAGAAAAGATTTCAATTGGGTTAAAACCTAGGTAAGAACAGTTGTGACTATAGAATGCTTAAACTGGGATTTTCCCAGCATGGTGGCAGTAATAAAAATGTCATGAATTAACTCATACTGTGATAGAAGCACCCCAGTAAGTTAGGGTGACCAGCTTACTTGACAGTAAATTCAGGTGACTTGCTGTTCTTTTGAAAAATGTTGATTGCTCTCGTTTGTGTGCAGCTGAGTACCACATCATTTTTATTAGGGACACACTGCAGAATAGATGTCTTTGGTAACAGTGTAGGAAGACAATATGGCTGTTGGATGAGCTGTAACAAGTGCAGGGGTTACTCACCATCTAGGGCTTGGACATCTCCACTGCAGGGTACCTGGCAATGATCAGTCTTTGAAGAATTTGTGCTTATGCTGTCAGGAGACTTTGGAATAAATTAGAGTGTGATTTATGAGCTGTACAGAGACTGCAATAGAAAGAGCTATAGAGAGTTATGTAAGTGGCAACAGACGTATCTTCTACATGGCCAATCAGGCAGAAATCAATGAAAAGAGAAGCAGAGATAGTGCAGGTGAACAGGTCAGATAACCTTACAAGCATCTTCACCCCAGTAAAAAGTGCCTGATGCCTGGATGGCCAATAGAGAAAAATGTCTGTCATACACCCTTGGATGTAATACTGTGTCACCAAGACAGACGTAGAAACCCAGGAAGAACGTCTCATCCTCGGTCTATTGCTGTCTCAGAGTTAAACACAAAACATAATTTCAGTTTGTAATTTTTTTTTCTAAGTCACAGTACATGATAATTGTCACTGTACACTCGCACCCTTTCTCTGTAAGTTTGGATGTTGTCAAAACCTTTTAGCCAAGGGAATCTACCACAAACATAATTCAGTGTGTAATACCACCACCTAGCACTGCATTACTCATTTGTACATTTCCATCTACATTTGAACACTTTGTCCTGCAGTTTGTAGAGAACACAGACATTGTCTCCTATTCATTGTATTGTATTGTATTTGCTTTTATAAATGCTGAGCCCATAGAGAACAATCTATAAATACTTGCTCAATGAGTATTTTAGGCAAGAGTATTTCCTAAGATGAAATTCCTGATTTCCTCAGAGGAATGAAATCTCAGCATTAACTTCGGAGATTGTTGCTATTGTCTCTACCTTGACCATCTCTGAGGTGAGAATCTGAAGGATCAAAAGCCACTTCTCCATGTTCATCCTTGTAGTAGAATAGTAACCTAGCAGGTCCATATGGATCTGTGGCCATTTAAGGCCATGGAACCAAAAAGTGGGAGGAATAACCGCTTAGAAAGTTTTACACTTCTCCCAGTGATGATGTCAGAAAAGCAAAACATTCACTAAATACTCCTAACACCTGCTTGTTCCCCACAGACTATATTGAGGGCAACTCAGAACTGTAAAGCTTTACTTGGCCAGCTAGCTAGTAATCAGTGGGTCAGAAACAGGAAGACAAGACAGTTGTTCCCCTAGGAATGGGCTATGCCAGCGGTTCTCAACCCTGCTGTTGCTGCACAGTGTCTTGAAGGCATCAACAAGTCTCCAAGTATGCAAACCTCTATCAAAAAAGTCTTTCAAAAATCATGCTCATTTTTTTTTTGTTTCTATAATAGACTTTAGTAAGCATATTCCAAGTGAACTTATCAATTCGATACCACCAGAGGCCCTTAATTTCTGCCTTGAGAGGAACAGTGCAAATCACACCCAGTGCAGGCTGAGGACAGCTGCTGTGCTGTTTCTTCCCACAGTGGAGAAACTCTCATAGGCTTAGGGGTCTGTGACGGAGCCGACACACCTGGTGGAGGGAAGGTGTGACAGCAAACCACAGCAGCATCACAGTGAGTCACCCTTGGCCCACTTTGCTCACCGTAACGTTCAGGGGCTACCAGAATAACAAGTCGAGTTCTGAGCCCCAGGTCCCCTGTGATTTGCACGACTGTACAACTGTGCTGCTGCTGATCTTCTGTGCGCAGAAGCCTTGCTGCCACGTTCACGTACTCCAACTGCCCATCTGTCGTGGTCTGCAATCCCACATCTCAGTCGTCTGAACACACTCGTATTCTGCTATATTGCTTTCTGCTTCATTCGTGGGTCTAAAGTTCTCAGTTATGGGTGCAACTAGCCAAGAAGCCATGGTTAATGCCTGCTTGGGATTACTGACTTAAAAAGAGGTAAAGTTCAGTTGTACCTGAGAGTGTTGCTGAACCTAGTTTTCATAAATCTGATGTTAATTTCATTCGATGAAATGGAAACATCTACCAGATTATATATGTGCAATTTTCAAGATAGTAAAAGTTTACCTTCCTAATTTTAATACGGCTTGGTCATATACCACAAGCAGAGTTACATATATGGAACTTTACATATAGGCTTTTTTTATTTTTTATTTATTTATTTTTTTTGGACAGGCAGAGTGGATAGTGAGAGAGAGAGACAGAAAGGTCTTCCTTTGCCGTTGGTTCACCCTCCAATGGCCGCCACAGCTGGCGTGCTGCAGCCAGCGCACCGTGCTGATCCGAAGGCAGGAGCCAGGTGCTTCTCCTGGTCTCCCGTGGGGTGCAGGGCCCAAGCACTTGGGCCATCCTCCACTGCACTCCCTGGCCAAGCAGAGAGCTGGCCGGGAAGAGGGGCAACTGGGAAAGAATCCGGTGCCCTGACCGGGACTAGAACACGGTGTGCCAGTGCCGCTAGGCGGAGGCTTAGCCTAGTGAGCCGCGGTGCAGGCCTACATATAAGCTTTTAAGAAATAGTTAAGGGGGCCAGCACTGTGGCACAGCCCGTTAACGCCCTAGCCTAAAGTGCCGGCATCCCATGTGGGAGCCGGCTTGAGACTTGGCTGCCCCATTTCCGGCCCAGCTCTCTGCTATGGCCTGGGAAAGCAGTAGAAGATGCCCCAAGTCCTTGGGCCCCTGCACTCATGTGGGAGACCTGGAGGAAGCTCCTGGCTTCAGATCAGCGCAGCTCTGGCCGTTGCAGCCAATTGGGGAGTGAACCATTGGGTGGAGGACCCCCCTCCCCCCCGCCTCTCCTCTAACTCTTTCAAACAAAAATAAATAAATCTTTAAAAAAGGAAATAGTTATCACTTTTTAAAAGACATTTATTTGAAAGAGTTACAGAGAAGGAAAGACAGAGACATAGATAAAGAAGTCTTCCATCCACTGGTTCACTCCCCAAATGGCCAGGGCTGGGCCAGACTCAAGCCAGAAGCAAGGCGTTTCATCTGAGTTTCCATGTGTGTGCCGGGGCCCAAGCAGTTGGGCCATCTTCCACTGATTTCCCAGGTGCATTAGCTGGGAGCTGGATTGGAAGTGGAGCAGCTAGGACTTGAACTGGTGCTGATATGGGATGCTGGTGCTGCAAACAGCAGTTTAACCCACTATGCCACAGTGCCGGCCCCAAATCATCATTTTAAAATAAATACTTATGTAAGCATTATCAGTGTCATAAACCATGCTGTATCCCAAATTCTGTGGGTTCCTGTTGAGATTAATTTTAATTAAGTCACTTACTTTATTTTCAATTAGCAAATGTTTCTTTTAACACTTAATTTCCAAGTGATCTAGTACTCCATTTTCTAGGAAGGCATTTTGGGAAGATCTACATGGACACTGAAGACAGTTGGCATCTACAGCCACGGCTCACCTTATCAACTTTTTTTTCCTTAAGATTTATTTATTTGAAAGGCTGAGCTATGGATAAAGAGACAGAATAACAGATCTTGAACCTGTTGGTTCCCACCCCAGCCAAGTCTGGGCCAGTCTAAAGCCAGAAGCTAGGAACTCTGAGTCTCCCACAAGAGTGGCAGGAGCCATACTTGGGCCATCATCTGCCTTCCCAGGCACATTAGCAGGAAACCAGATGGGAAGCAAGGCAGCTGGCTCTCAAACTGGCATTCTAATATGAGATGCTAGCATTGCAAGCAGCTGCTTAACTGACTATGCCACAACCTTGGCCCTTTTGTGGAACACGAAAGCCATCGTGTGGGGTCCAACGCTGTGGGTCAGCAGGTAAAGCTGCTGTCTGCAGTAATGACATCCTGTATGAGCATGGGTTCAAGTCCCGACTGCTCCACTTCCAATCCAGCTCCCTTCTAATGCACCTGGGAAAGCAGGGGAAGATGGCCCTGGCTCCTGGCTTTGGCCTGGCCCAGCCCTGGACATTGCAGCCATTTGGGGAGTGACCAGTGGATGGAAGATCTTTCTGTCTCTGCCTGTAACTCTGCCTTTCAAATAAATAAGTAAATCTAAAAAAACAAAAACGAAAACAAAAAAACCACCATGTGAATGAACAATGGCAGATCCTAGGTTTTCCTTCTATGTATAATTTTTCTATCAATGTTCATGCTTACATAAATCCCTTCTTTCTGTTCAAAGCTATAAAGTGAATTTTCAAAGAATATAAATGAATTACAAATTTTAAGCTTAGAACAAATAGTTGAAAATCATTTAAAAAATCAACATCACTACTTTCAAAAATTTTCTCCCTGTTTATTGTAAAATGAACTACTAGGGACTGGTGGAGTGTTCAGTGGAGACCAGTACTCTGCAACCCCCTGCCACATGAGCTCTTTAATGCCACACACTCCTTAAGCAGGGGCACAACCTGGAATGTGATGGGATTATCAAAGGAGAATAAGTACGGGCGTATCTGTACTCATTTTCTATTGCTGTATAATAAATACGGCACACTCAGTGTTTAACGTAATTCGTTTATTCTCTCACAGCTGGGTATGTCAGATGTGGGCACAGCTGAGCCAAGTTCTCATGCTGAGTCTCTCAGAGCTGAGATCCAGGTATCACCCCAAGCTCGGAGGACCCTGCTGTGCTCACTCCGGCTGTCAGCAGCCTCAGCACCTTGCTGCTGTTCAGCTGAGGTCCATTCTTCCCTCCTGGGGGCAGCTGGAGAGTGCTCAGCTTCAGAGGCCACTCAGGTTTCAGCCAGCATGGCCCTCTCACAACACGGTTCTTCCTTCTTCAAGGCCCATGAGAGAGCCCGACCCTATGTAGGGGTTCACCTGACCAGGTCAGGCCCCTCCCATAGAGTCTCACTTTGATAGTCCAGGTCAGCTGGGGCCTCACCTACACCTGCGAAGTTCCTTCAACTTGCCTTAGCAACGGGAAGCCTGGTTTGTGGTGAGTGACTGCTAAAATAGCACGCTGTGCACGTGATGCTATAAACATACGTCTGTAACAGCTTTCATCATTGCTCCCATAAACTTTAAATTATCACTGCAGCATTCAATTTTCATGAGTGCCTGTTCGAGAGGCACAGCAGACCAAAGTCCGACATTACAGGTAAAAACAAACAAAACCAAGGCTCAAAGCAGCTGAGTTTGTCTAAAGGTTTACAGCCTCTAGTAGTGGAATCAGCCAGGCTTCTGACCAACGTCTTTGAATCCCAGAGCTCAGTGCTCTCCTGCTAATCCTGTACCCACTGCAGGAGTTGAAGTGACACTACCCACTGAGCCCTAAGTGCTGATGACGTGGCTCTCCTCTTGGTTATTCTCAATGTTGCAGGCTCAACTCTATTTTGCACTGCACTCTGCTACCATGTTAAAGGAATCCATTTGGAAAAAAATTGGTTCAAAAACAGTTAAGGAAGCTGTATAAAAAGAAGCCAAGCATCCATTCAAGTAAAGATTTAGGAAGGTATCATCTCTTGCAGCAACTGTTGAACCTTATTAAAAAAAATGAAAAAACAGAAAACAAATGGCACCACATTATACAGCAGTCTGAAATATCCATAATCAAAAATGACAAATCCCACCCTTCTCACTTCTTAAACAAGTGTAAAAAATTAGTACCTTCTTAATATCTGGTCTCTTATTTTTCTTTTCATGCAGACACTGACAAGCAACAGAGTACATACTTTCAACTGAAGAGGGCTCAGCATCACTCATCTTCGTATCCACATAATCTTCAATTGTCTTTTCTTCATCTTCAATTTCTTCTTTAATGTCTAGCTTTAAAATGAGTGTTTTTTGTTAAGGGCATAAAATAAAAGTGAAAGAAGTTAGAAGACAATTTTAAATCATTTGTTTTCAACACGTACTCACATTTTCATGCTTTTTAACAGCACTGAGAATTGAAAACACACAGGACAAACTAAATGATACTTGCACATGTTTGCATTCGCATTTCTGTGTCCTTTGTGTGTCGTGTCGTGTGCTTACTTCTGGTGCTGCTGTTCATGGGAGGAGGAGTCTGTCCCCATGCTCCCTGTGTCTACTAGGCTGGCAGCACAGGTGCTTGTTTGGGATATACCTGAGAGTGCAGCTCCAGGGTCTTTACCCACAACCCCTCTCTGCTCCTGACAAACTTCTCTAAGTTTGCAGATGTTTAACCAGAGAGAAAAAAGGAAGGGGAAAGGGCAAAGGGCCATGCTGACAAAGCAATGAATAGAGGCAGGTATAGGAGGATGGGGCAGTGGGTTGAAAAGCAGATGCCAAAGCATGTCCTTCACTACTGGACCCACTAATCCAATCCACACCCAAGGTTTCAACAATATCCACACACTGACTTGTACAGACCACCTCTCTGCCCAGGCTTCTCTCCTGACCTCCAACAACCAATAGAACAGGGAATTTTATTTTGATTAAGATGAAATTTTACATTTTAATGTATCACTATATAAATCTAAATATTTAAATAATAACTCATCCCAATATGTATCTTCTGTAAGTATACTCTAAAGTATTTTACGACATTGCAAATGATATTGCATGATTATTTTCCCACTACATCATGGAAAATTTTATAATGCAGTTAGCTTTATGACACATACTTGTAACAGTATTCTAACATGCTGCATAAGAGTATGGCATTAGACCCTTAAGCAAATAATTACATATTTTGGCTTTTTAATCCTCATTCCAGGGGAATAATCTGGTATAAAGAAATTGTCTGAATTTGTCACAGATTTGTTTCACTAGAAAATATAAATTAGAATAAATTCAGAGTTGTTATTTAACTAATTTTAATAAAAACTGTTACACATGCTGGTATATATACCATAAATCTTCATTTATTTCCATAAATTTTAATTTTATAAAAATATTCTGTTTTTAAAATTTTTTATACAGGGGAAAAATAGGTATATTTTTATTTGTCATTCATTTCATCTATTTTATGTGATTGTCAAGGAATGCCTAATACAACCAATTAAATAATGATTTCTATAATAACCTTATAAATAAAATATTCCATAACAGAAACAGATAGAGAAAGCTTATTAGGAATTACGCTCTGAGCTCTGATGCAAATTTGAATGGAAGTCAGATGGTTCCTTTCTGGACTAAAAATGCTGTTAGCAACCACCTAGAAAATAATAAACTCAAGAGGCCTACAAGAATCCTTTAGTCCATTCTCACTTTACCCACAAAGGGATCAAAAAAGACACAGTGACTCTCTGAAGTCCACTAGTCCCCACGGCAGAGCTGACATCAGAAAGGCTTACTGCTCTTTCAAGAGGCCACTGTGGGACTTCCAGCAGAAACTGCTACCTCTAGATGCCAACGTCACCTGTATACACTGAGACTGCACACGCGAAGAGAAAATGAATTTCAATTACTAGTAACTGAGGTTCACGGTGTTCATCCACAGCTGGAAGTCCAGTTATTATTTCCAGTAACACCTGTGAAGACAGAAATGATCCATTAATAAAACACCCGAGAAAACAGAGCAATTGGAAGGAATATGGATCTTCATTAGAAACTGATGAGCTATTTGTGTACAAATCACATCTTTTAGGTATTAAAGCAGAAAGAACATGAGCTGTGGGACTGCTTCACCATCTTTCCTCAGATACCCTGCACTCCACCACGCCCACAACAGTCCTGTTCTTATTTTTTTTTTTTTTTAAGATTTATTTTATTTATTTGAAAGACAGAGTTAAAGAGAGAGGTAGAGAAAGAGACAGAGAGAGAGAGGTCTTTTATCCGCTGGTTCACTCCCCAGATGGCCACAATAGCTGGGCGGAGCTGCGCTGATCTAAAGCCAGGAGTCAGGAGCTTCTTCCAGGTCTCCCATGTGGGTGTAGGGGACCAAGCACTTGTGCCATCTTCTACTGTTTTCTCAGGCCATAGCAGAGAGCTGGATCAAAAGATGAGCAGCTGGACTAAAACTGGCGCCCATAGGGGATGCTGGCACTTCAGGCCAGGGCATTAACCCGCTGCACCACAACACCGGCCCCAACAGTCCTGTTCTATTAAGAGTCAGCTATGGGGGCAGCATTGTGGTGCAGAGGGTAAAGCCACAGCCTGCAACACTGGTATCCCATATGAGAGCTAGTTCAACTCCCAGATCTCTACTTCTGACCCAGTTCCTTGCTCATGTGCCTGGGAAAGCAGTGGAAGACAGACCAAGTCCTTGGACCCTGCCACCCACATGGGCAACCAAGATGGAGTTCCAGGCTCCTGGCTTTGGCTTGGCCCAGCTCCTGTCTTTGCAGCCATTTGGGGAGTGAACCAGCAGATAGAAGATCTCTTTCTGTCTCTCACTCTCTAATTTTGCTTTTCAAATATATGTGTGGGGCTGGCGCTGTGGCACAGTGGGTTAAAGCCCTGGCCTGAAGTGCCGGCAGCCCATATGGCTGCCAGTTCTAGTCCTGGCTGCACCTCTTCAGATCCAGCTCTCTGCTATGGCCTGGGAAAGCAAATGATGCCCCAAGTCTTTGGGCCCCTGTGCCTACGTGGGAGACCTGGAAGAAACTCCTGGCTCCTGGCTTCAGATTTGTGCAGCTCCAGCCGTTGCGGCCATCTGGGGAGTGAACCATCCGATGGAAGACCTCTCTCTCTCTCTCTCGGTCTCTATCTCTCTCTGTAACTCTGTCTTTTAAATAAATAAAATAAATCTTTAAAAAAAGTGTGTGTGTGTATATGTATATGTATCTATATATGTCAGCTCCATCACACAGGTGTTTTTTTTTTTTTTTTTTTTTTTTTTTTTTTTTTTTTTTTGACAGGCAGAGTAGACAGTGAGAGAGAGAGACGAGAGACAGAGAGAAAGGTCTTCCTTTGCCGTTGGTTCACCCTCCAACGGCCGCCGCGGCCGCCACACTGCGGCCAGTGCACAGTGCTGATCCGATGGCAGAAGCCAGGTGCTTCTCCTGGTCTCCCATGGGGTGCAGGGCACAAGCACTTGGGCCATCCTCCACTGCACTCCTGGGCCACAGCAGAGAGCTGGCCTGGAAGAGGGGCAACCGGGACAGAATCCGGCGCCCCGAACCGGGACTAGAACCCGGTATGCCGGCGCCGCAAGGCGGAGGATTAGCTTAGTGAGCCGCGGCCGGCCTACACAGGTGTTCTAACCACTTCCTGTCCTGCAGGAGATTCTTCACAAGAATAACTTCCCCAAGCTCTTAGGAGGACATCCATTTCTAAACACAGCATATTCTACAAACCTGTGCCTCAGCTCCACAGAGCTAAATTTCCATTTGTGAAACACAGGAACATGTAAGACAAAGAAAAAGTTCCCCTTCTCCAGCCACTCTCACTTACCCTTAATTCTCTTATTATATGACATGATTCACTTTACTTATTTAATTTAAATTTCATTCTAATTCATGAAGACAGGTGACAAACTCTTGCAGTAATTTCAAAAGGCAACTCAACGGTTTCATACAGTGGGGGATGTTGTATACACTCACAAATAACTAGAGGTTAATGTGAACAGTTTATATCTTTTTCAGAAGATAGCTGAGCAATATAGTATCTTATAGAATCCTGGAGTTTCACAACTAGAGCAGAATGAATACTATTATTAATTACATATGAGGTGGAACTCACCACTCCAAAGCTGTAGATGTCAGATTTGGGTGTTATTTCTCCTCGCAAAGCTTCAGGCGCCATGTAAGCTGTTGTTCCCACAATTCTGCTGGTCATCACTGTCTGGGCAAACTTCTCAGATGCACGTGCAAGCCCAAAGTCAGAGATTTTGGCAGTGAAGGCTTTGTCTAGTAAGATATTTGCACTGAAAAAGTTGAAGGTTTGGAGAAAAAGTGTTTTTCTTACCAGGGAAGTTAAATGGTTCCTTACACTGAAGTATGCCTGCCTACACATGTATACTGACTGAGTGTGCCATTTTGTAGAATATTTCAAGTAAGCCTGAATTTATGTAAATAAATCCAGAATTCAAATTACAAAACAGGGAGATAATTATCTTTTGTTTCTTTAGGATAAATTTTTAAGAGAATAAAAATGGAATAAAACCGCCCACATTAGAGGCAAACATTTGTCTTATTCTACAAATAATTTAGGTTCCTATGGTCTTTCAAAGAACCCTTTAAAATTACTTTCTTGACATTTCTGAATTCATTTTTTAAAATATTTATTTATTTATTTGAAAGTCAGAGTTACACATAGAGAGAGAGGTGTTTCATCCCCTGGTTCACTCCTCAAATGACCACAATAGCCAGGGCTGGGCCAGGCCGAAGTCAGGAGCCAGGAGCTTTATCTAGGTCTCCTATGTGGGTGCAGGAGCCCAAGCACTTGAACCATCCTCCACTGCTTTCCCAGGTGAATTACTAGGGAGCTCCATTGGAAGTGGGGCAGCCAGGACTAGAACTGGCACTCAACTGGGATGCTGGTTTTGTAGATGGCAGTTTTATCTGCTACACCCAACGCCAGCTCCTGACGTTTCTCAATTCATTTAAAAAATGAGTTTCCAGGGGGCCTGCACTGTGGCATAAAAAGGCCTGATCCAGCTCCCTCCCCATGTGCCTGCAAAATAGTGGAAAATGGCCCAAGTGCTTGGGTCTCTGTGTCCATGTGAGAGAAGCTCCTGGCTCCTGGTTGCGGCTTGGCTCACCAGCTGCTGCGGCCATTTGGGATGTAAACCAGAAGATGGAAGACCTCTCTCTTTTTCTCCCTCTCTCATTCTGTATAACTCTGCTTTCAAAAAAATCTTAAAAAAAGTTTCCAATCAAAGCATCTCAATTATTCATTTGTTTAAACTACTTTGTCTGTCCCATATGTACTCTTTTGAAGCTGAAGATTAGGGCCAAAAGCTCTTCATTCTATATATTCATAGTCTCACTAAATAAAGTCTTACTGAAAACTTCTCATCTTTCATAGTATTTAGGCTCAATGCCTGGCATGGAGCAGGCAGGAATCATAGAATCTTGTCTGTGTCAAAGGCACTTGAGTAATATTTTTAAAATCAATAAATGTTATATAATTGTAGCAGTAGGTATGAAATGCTGAGAGAACCATGTGTCAGCAAGAATTGGGGAAAATTCCAAAGAGAAGGTGAAAGCTTAGTTTGGAGGAATTCCCTGAAGCTGATGGTTGTGCAGAAAACAGAGCAGTGCATTGCAGAGTCTTGTAAAGAACGATGACATCATGAAAGCATGTGGTGTACAGGACCAACATCAAGAAACCAGTGTCCATGGTCATGCTGGGCATTTGAACTTCATTCTGTAAGCAACAGGAACCAGCTGAAGATCTCACAGTACACATCAGACTTAACTCTTAGGAGGACACTCTGGCAAGGCTGCAGTGAACAGATGAGAACTGGTATAGACTGGCTTCAGGTTCACGAGGAAGTTTTATAGTAAAGCGAATGGAAGATAATGAGGTTCTGAACAGAGGCAGAAGACTGGGCTGGCAACCTGGAAGTGCAAAATTCGAGGCAGCTGCAGGACTGTGTAATCTGTATGACACAGGCAGTCAATCTTTAGCTTGGGGGACAGCGCCTTAGGGACTTGACTGATCAGAAAGGAAACAGGAAGGTTTTGACTGAGGGTTGCTGAAGACAATGAGTTTGATTACTGACGAGTTGATGGGAAGGCTCCGGTGGGACAACCAAGTGAGGTACTACAGACATGGGGTCCCTGAAAACACAGGACTGGAGGCTGTGTACAGACTTGAGTCTCTTTGCCTACAGAGAGAGAGTTAGAGTTAAGATAATATCATGCAGCAAGAACACGGGATAACAAGGCAAGGACATGAGGAAAAACCAGTTCCTAAGGATGAGAGTGAGATCAGACCCTCTGCTTGGGCTCCTTCCTACATTCTTAGGAACCTTACTCTGCAAGCTGTCTCATCTCTGTCTTCCACAGAATCTTTTCCTGCTTTTCTGGACCCTGAGTATAAGCATGCTTTTATCTCTGCTATCTTAAAGCATTTCCTGGGTGGTGTGTCTACTTGCACCTAACACCCATCAGCAGCCAAAGGTCTGGGAGACTTGTCTGTCCTCCCTCCTGGGCTCTCGCCTCCCACTTCCTCTGCAACCCCCAGCGGCTCTTCTGAATGCTCCCTCTTGGGACACCCCTCTGTGTTTCCAGGGACCCACTCTAGTCCTGTTATCATCTCACCTTTGTGTGCAGGTACCTTCTGAGATTACTTTTGGGGATCTCTTCCTCTTAGCCACTAACTCTTAGGGTTCCTTGGGACTTAATCCTAGGCTGTTTTCTTAATTTCTCTCTCCCTCCAGGTGAACACAATCATACAGCAACTCTTAACTAGTATCTCTACACAAGTAATAGACATATTTATGCCTTCGGCTCAGCTGTCTTTCAGCTCCACACCTGCATAGCCCACTGTCTAGTTAACACCACCACTTCCACACCTTAAGAAAACAGCAAACACAACACGCATAAAGAACTCATATTTTCCTTCCACTCCTAACTTTCTCCTCTTTCATTCCTTTCTGCACAAGTCAATCAGGCCACGTGCATTCCAGACTGCAGGTCTGGAAGCTGTTATTCCAGGAGTCATTCTTAAAACACTTCTCTCATACAACCCTCCCTTCCCACAGCCAAGCTATCAGCAAGCACTGCCATCTCTCTCTCGATCTATGCACTTCTCTTCCTAGGACCTGCCCCCACCAAGACTGCTGATCGCCTACTGCCTGGCCATCTTACACACTGTTCCCCTCTCTCTAGGGCTTGTGTGGCAGCACAGCCAGCTAAGCCAACACCTGCAATACCGGCGTCCTATATTGGAGCACCTGTTTGAGTCCTAGCTGCTCTGCTTCTGATTCAGCTTCCTGCTCATGCTCCTGAGAAGGCAGCAGGTGCTGGCCCCTGCCGCCCCCGTGGGAGACCAGGATGGAGTTCCTGGCTTCTGCCTACCCCAGCCCCAGCCCCTACTTCATTGAGAAATGAAGTAGTAGATGGAAAATCTTTCTCTTCCTCTCTCCCTTTCTGTCGTTTTGCCTTTCAAATATATAAATCTTTAAAAAAGAAAAGAAGTGATCTCTGCAAAGCTTGGACATGACACCACATCCCAACATAGTCTTGGGTGGTGTCTCATTACACTTCTGAGTCCCACAGCTTGCAGCTCGTGCCCACTCCCATCATCTCTCCTCACATCTCCTGCATTTTCCACATGCCAATCATGCTGATTCACTTCATGGCTTAACCCAGTATATTCCAGGATTCCCTTCACTGCTAAAATCACAAATACAGTTCCTTCAGCCTAGAATGTTCTTTTCTTCTTCTTTCATAGCTGCCCTCATGTTATGAAGACTTATTTCCTGCTAATTTTTTAAAACTCAGCTTAAATATCACTTCCTTGGGAGCCCTCCTTTATACTAACACTATTTCAATACAATAAAATTCTATAATCTTGTGAAGATCTGATGGAAGCCAATTCTGTACATGATGCTTTTGCTATCTGTTCCATGTACATTCCCTACTGTAGGGAAATACTTAACCAGAGAAAAACATCAGCAGGAGAGCTGAAAGCACTCACAGAGGATGACAGTGATTCAGAAAAGAATATTGACCCACAAACCAAGAAAGGATCAAATCTACACAAGGTGAAATGGTCAAGGACAGAGTAACACGCTCTTTTTTTTTTTTTTTAACTTACAGATACTTTATTGCTCACCTTTCACACACAGCACACCTCTAACCATTTTCTTTCACAGCTTGACAATGTTTATGTACACAAAAACCCAGCAAGAAGCATCATGTCACGGAGATGTCAGTAAGAGAGAATGTAAAACATCAACTTAGCCAGGCTTTTGTTTTCTGCAGCAATAATAAAGGCCGCCTGCACTAAGCAAAAATGTTTTACTTGGTAGTGCATTTCTTCCATTACAAAAAGTCTCCTGCCTAGAGCAAACTAACTTGTATTTGCTGAGCCAGTGGTATTAGTAACACGCTCTTAAAACAAAGAGCCGGCTGGCGCCGTGGCTCACTAGGCTAATCCTCCGCCTAGCGGCGCCGGCACACCGGGTTCTAGTCCCGGTCGGGGCGCCGGATTCTGTCCCGGTTGCCCCTCTTCCAGGCCAGCTCTCTGCTGTGGCCTGGGAGTGCAGTGGAGGATGGCCCAAGTACTTGGGCCCTGCACCCCATGGGAGACCAGGATAAGTACCTGGCTCCTGCCATTGGATCAGCGCGGTGCGCCGGCCGCAGCGCGCCGGCCAGGGCGGCCATTGGAGGGTGAACCAACGGCAAAGGAAGACCTTTCTCTCTGTCTCTCTGTCTCACTGTCCACTCTGCCTGTCAAAAAACAAAAAAACAAACAAACAAACAAAAAAAACCAAAGAGCCAGGCTAAGTGGGGCGAGTCCTAACAGTCGGTCACTGGGTTTGTGGGAGAGGAGACTACAGAAGTCCTTCGTGGAAAGTGCTCTCCCAGACTGATGAGGAGAAGGCCCAGGGGCTCTAGGTTGGGGCACACATGTCAGCAGGGAACAGAATGACCGAGAACATATTATTCTCTGAAGGTGACTGTCTCTAAGCTCTTCAATAGCAGCATTTACCTTTTAATATCTCTATGAATATGATGATTTTCGTGTAAAAAGCTGATGCCAGCTGCAGCACCCTGAGCGATGTTGCATCTTGTGTGCCATGAAAGTGGTGCTGTATCATCCTTACAAAGAAACAAACCAATTAAAAAGAGGAGGAAAAAAGAAAAAAAAATTATGGAAAACATTTAACAGAGAACATAATGGCACTTTAACAGGTTCATGGAAATGGAATTATTTTTTGCACCAATGTAAATTTATGCCTTAATTCTGCTGTCCTACAAACCTGTTGACATATCCTCATATTATTTTGGCAACAATGAAAAATGATATTATTAATAAGAATTTATGATGAAAATTTTTTGAAGTTCTTAAATATCCAATGTGGTTTAGCATTTCTCATTTGAAGATCAAAATATGAAACAGAATCTTTTGAGACTGGTGCTGTGGTGCAGCGGGTTAAAGCTCCAGTCTGCAGCGCTGGCATCCAATATGGTCAATGGTTGGAGTCCTGGCTGCTCCATTTCCGATCCAGCTCTCTGCTATGGCCTGGGAAGGCAGTGAAAGACAGCTCAAGTCCTTGGGCCCCTGCACCCAAGCAGGAGACCCAGAGTAAACTCTTGGCTCCAGGCTTCAGATTGGCCCAGCTCCAGCCGTTGTGGCCATTTGGAGAGTGGGCAAGCAGATGGAAGACCTTTCTCTCTCTCTCTGCCTCTGCCTCTCTGTAACTCTGCCTTTCAAATAAATAAATAACTCTTAAAAAAAAAAAAAAAACAAACAAAAAAAAACAGAACCTTTAAAGTCTAGCCTCCGTGGATAATTTCACATTTTAGATCATCACCTACAGAAATGGCAACCTACAGGAGGAGAAACACCAATTTAAATGTGGTTTAAATACCCTAGCACAGAAACAGAAATCCTCATGGCCTGATGAACAGGGATCTTACCAGGCATAACAATCTGTCCAGCAATGAGCCATTGGGCATGTAGACATACACGAGGCAGAGATCATCTCCATCCTTTGAGAAACCAAGCAGTTGTACCAAGTTTTCATGCTGGCACCTGTGACAAAGAGTTTGCAGAGAAAAATTTCTACATTATATACTTATACACTCAGCTGTAGATCAGAAGGTATTTAATTTAGAGCTTTAACAGAAGAACAGGAAAACAGTGTTCTATATCATTAACAATATGTTTATAGTATCTGTATATTTATTCTAGCTGTTCTAATTTTCTGTAGTTATTTTTTCCAGTCAATACTGATCAACAATAGAAGCAAAACCTTTCAATTTTGTAACAAAAGCTCAGTGATTCGGACCACTGGAACTTGCCACAGTTTGGCTAAGGGCTAGGTGATGGTTACCTTTGAATAGCAAAATTTTCAATGATGGCACAAACAAAAATTTCAGTTCTGTTCAAAGTTTTATGATAACACTTTCAAGAATTCACCAATGCTCTAAAAGAACGGATGTATAGATGCAGTCTTTAATTTATATATTTCTGATCTCCAATCATACCTGATTATTTAGGCCCTAGTTTGAGTTTCTTTATATAGTTGACAGTAGAGAAAAAAGAGTGTTATGGTATGACAGCACAGATCTGGGTCCAGAAGGAAGCAGACTAGGCTCAGAATGCAAAGTCCCCAAAGAGAGTCAAGCTCACGACATCCTGGATCAATCACCCTCACTGAGCCTCTTCCTTTACCTACTCTATGTAGAAAATACTATCTGTGAGAATTAGATGAGCAAATAGACATAAATGACCATTACTTATCTATACAGTCATCTGGGTATATATTTGGAAAGTCCTTTAAAAACTGTATGTATTCTGAACTACTGATTCTTCTTCTAGGAATTCATTCTCACAAAATAAACAGAATTGTGTTTAAAGACTTACATACTGGCTGGCGCCATGGCTCAACAGGCTAATCCTCTGCCTTGCGGCACCAGCACACAGGGTTCTAGTCCCGGTCGGGGCACCGGATTTTGTCCCGGTTGCCCCTCTTCCAGGCCAGCTCTCTGCTGTGGCCAGGGAGTGCAGTGGAGGATGGCCCAAGTGCTTGGGCCCTGCACCCCATGGGAGACCAGGAGAAGCACCTGGCTCCTGCCTTCGGATCAGCGCAGTACGCAAAAAAAAAAAAAAAAAAAAAAAAAAAGACTTACATACCAAGAGCTTTAAAGGAGCTTTAATTTATAATACTGAAAATTAAAAACAAATAGAGTAGGGTGATGGTTACTCAAACATGACCCTCATGCTTGCTATAATACTATATGATACTTCTAAAAGTTTTCAAATTTTTATGACTAGGGAAATACAACATCATAAATAATTCATCATAAACCAAAACACTGAAATATTTGCAATGGTTCTCAATGATAAACTCAAGATGGCTTCCATTGTTGTAAAAATATTTTCCTGCCTGTATTTCCAAGATTACCTACTTTGTACAAGTTAGTTTTAGGATGGGAGAGTGAGGGTAAGGGTGAGAAGAATAAAGTCTTGGAAGAAAAAAGAGTTTTGATGGTTCCATTGTATAATATTTTACTGTGCATGAACCAACTCCATTCTATTAATTCTTCTTGCAGTTAAAGAAGCAAAACTGGTGACTTACAGACAGGACAATTATGGGTGAAATTTGGCAAATTCCATTAAGATTCAGATTAGAAACAAAGAACTGGGTGGATCTGGATTTGAATCCCATCTAGTGGCTTTGTGACCTTGGCAAGTTACTTTGCAGTCTCAATTTAAAAGACAGAAAGATGGCTGGAAGAGTTTTTGTGAGGATTAAGTAAGACTATGCATATGAAGTACACAGCACAGTGTCTGAGGAACTGGATGCACTCAATTATCAACCATGTTAATTATGAGAGTAATCATCCAGATCTGTCCCTCCTCCCTTCCTGATGGTGCCAATGATATCCCACTCTACGGGGTGGACGCTTTCTCAGCAACCCTGCACCTAACCCTTCCCTAGCTCCTTTATGGCCATCAGCTTCTATCAAAGGGCCTACTCTGTAAATGGGTCTTTTAAAATTCTCCCTACAATTAGTATCTCATGAATTCTGGAAGCAGACAATATGCTAATGGAAGACAGTTTGAATTCCACATAAATTCATTATGCTTTAAAACACTGCTATGTAATCTACAGGCATGGGAGCTGAGTAGTCAGAGAAATATATAGATAGAACTACTTTCCATTCTTTTCATCTCAATGCTATACTTCAATCTCATGTTCTTGCAAGATCACTAGTTCATGGCACACTCTGGGTAAGAAAGCATGTTCCTTATACGTGGTCTTGTCTTCTATGACTCCCCACTACCAAATGAACACTTACTTTGCCATTACTTTTATTTCTTGTTCAAACTGTTGTTTCAGTTCTTCAGTACTAATATCAACCATCTGAAGAAAGAAACAAATGTATGATATAATACAACACAATTATTCTTGGCTCATGGGCTCAGCTGATTAGCTCTCATTTCATAAAAAAAAAGTAGGGTTTTATTCTGCTAATTGTGTAGAACAAATGAGATAGATAAATAAATATTAGTGATTTGCCCAAGGTCTCATGGCTATGAAAAGAAAAGTAAAAATTAAAAAAAAAAGGACCTCACTGAGATGAAAAACAAAATGAGATTTAACCACATCAAAAATATGAGGAAACATTATGTTACAGAAAAAGTGCACAAGCAAATTTGAATGCAAAAGAAAACAAAACCTCCCAAAGTATTTGCCACATACGTGACAAAGAGTAGCTATCTTCATCATCTACCTTTGGATTCCACTGATATTTTTAAGATCTAACTGCAGATTTAGAATAGAACAAGTCAATAAATAACAGCAAACATTCAGTAGAAATAAGTAGAAAAGTCACAGACAAGAAACGTTTCAATCTGTTTTCCTTAATTTGTATTTTCTAAATTATTTTTAAAAGAGAAAAGTAATGCAAGCCAAGTTTTATAAATTTTTCTTTGGATCTTACCATTTTAACTTTGATTATACATGAAGAATCATTGAAAGCAGGGCTTCTCTACTAAAATTAGAAGTATGATCATATCTGTGTCCATACCCACATCTTTTCAAATATTAAGGGTTAGGAAACTGGTGCAGTTGGCCGCAAGGCCCAGCTACCTGAGCCAGGCTCCACCCCCACCCTAATGTGATTTGCTGTTCCAGCTTCCCTTCCTGCCCTCAGGCAAAGTTTTAAAAGGGCCTGTTCCTGAACACATGCTCTCTCTTGGCCCTTCTCTCCTGCTCTCTTGGTTCCTCTCTCCAGCCTCCTCCTCTGGGCTCTTGGCTCTGCACTCCTCTCTCCTCTTCTCTGCTTTATCTTCTCTCCTTGCTAGCTCTTCTCCTCTCTGTCTCTCTCTCTTACAGTCTCCCTCCCTTTTTTCCTTCGCCACCCCTTCACTCCAGTCTGTAGGTTGTTCCCCAATAAACCCTTTCCCTTACTCCGGTGTCCCGTGTGCTTTGCGACGGCTAACATGAAGATATAACATTAAGAACTATGAGAGATCAGAGTTGTGGCTCAGGGGCTTAATTAAGCTGCTGCTTATGACACTGGCATCCTGTACTGGAGTACTGGTTCAAGTACCAGCTACTCTGCTTCCAATCCAGCTCCCTGCTAATGTGGAAAGCAGTGGATGATGGTACTTGAGGTCCAGTGCCTCATATGAAGTTCCTGGTCCTGGTTTCAGTCTGGTCCAGACCAGGCCACTGCAGCCATTTGGGGAATGAGTCAGAGAAGGGAGGCTCTCCCTCTCTCCCTGTCTCTTCCTCTCTCCCTGTCTCTTCTCTCTACTGCTCTGTCTCTTAGATTAATATTTTTCTTTAAAAAAACAAACAAGAAACTATGAGCTTAGAATGACATTATTTATAAAAATACACACTGAAATGCTGTATTTCTTAAGATCAGGTTTAAACTTGTGACACAGAGCTAGTAGAGACCCTCCTGATATTCCTGAGGATGCACTTACTGCTGCGAGCTTCTTCACTGCCACGGGAGTGTTGCGCAGGCAGCCTTTGTACACCACGCCAAAGCCCCCCTCACCCATCTTGTTACCACCACGAGCAATGGGTCGTTCGTCAAAGTCATTAGTGATGCTCCTCAATTCATAAAAGGAGAAGCTGTGAAAACCTGTAATGTCAACAGGAGAAATGTGCTTCAGTAAAAAAGAACTTGCTTTCAATAATTCCAGTATTTTCTCTACTTGCAGATTCCCCATCTTTTTGCAAATATTTTACACTTTTAGACTAGGCAAGATAGGAGAGGGTAAGCCATCATTAAAATATGAATAATGTGCTCTAGCTTGAGAATTCTGTTTGCTGATCCCACTCACCAAATAACTTAGTCATGCACTGAGAATTCTAGTTCCGGGTTAGGGTGTTGTTGTTAAGAAACAACTCTTTCAAGTTATAGATAGAAACATGTACTTACATTTTTGATATGTTCTATAGTTGTTTGCCTGCCATATTGCCCACAATCACTGATCATAGAGTGATTATAATATAATGAAGAAAGTACTTAATAAACGAGGAGGGAAAACACCCACAACAGAGCTATTGCTCCTGCCAGAATAGGAGAGACTGATTTTGAGTGATGATATCTTTTAAAAGTATTATTTACTTACTTACTTTATTTATTTATTACTTATTTATTTTCATTTTTGTTTGAAAAGCAGAAGAGAGAAAGAGAAATGCAGAGAGAGATCTTCTGTCTACTAGTTCATTTCCCAACTACAACACACAGAACTGGGCCAGGCCAAACTCAAGAGCCTAGAACTCAGTCTGGGTCTCCCACATGGTTGGCATGGATCCAAGTACTTGAGCCATCACCTGCTGCCTCCCAGGGAGCACACTAGCAAGATGCTAGAATCAGGAGATGAGTGCGGACCCAAACCTATGTACAATGATATGCAATGTAGATATCCCAAGCATGGTCTTAACCATTGTCCCAAATTCCCCCTCTGCACCCCAGCCCCAAGAATGACAGCCTTTCAAATCCTCAAGTGGAAAGCACTACAAACATTACTTACGTGTATCACTAACTCCTAGACTTTTATTTTCTGGACTTGAGGAGTCAGGAAGTACACAGTTTTTTTCAAGATTCTGTACAGGTATCACTGATGTCTTGCCTTTGTCATGAAAAGGAATCAGTTTCTGCTGAGCTGTTATAGCCTCCTTAGCAGGTAATGTGTTGACAGTTTTGGGGAGAGCGTCTGCCAGAAAAAACAAGATACAAGTTGTTCTTCCAACAGAAAAAATCATTTGTGAAAAAGTTAAACCAGTAACTCAAGTCATTTAAAATCACTCCAGTTCTCCTGGGTGGGCGCTATACTGTTACAGCACACACCAGGAACTATCTAGGAAGGGCCTGTAAGTTATGACAAAGATGGGTAGAGAGAGTAAGGCAGCATTTTCACCAAGCGGTCCATGAATCACTTGCATCAGAGGCCCTGAAGTACCTGTTTAAGAACACAGGCCTTAAACCAATCCCAAAATCCTGACTAAGTATATCTAGAATGGCACCTAGAAATAACATGTTTAACAAGAACCCCCAGTGAGTGTTACACACCACAAAGGTTGAGAACCACTAGTATAAACAGCATCCAAAAGGAAAAAGTGAGGTTCTGGTGGAAAGTAACAAGATACTAAGTTACCAGAGACACAGTAGGGAGGTAACCATCACAGAGTCCCCTCAGAGGAGAAGCCAAAGACAATAAAATGCAAGAGCTCAAAAGGAGAACTACCTTCCTACACCCTTAACTAGGTATCTGGGGACTACATCCTCCTGAACTTTCCACAGGCACAACACTACTTCATTGGTGCGACACAACTCAGTCTTGAAGCTCTCCCACCTCAACGGGAAAGTCTGCAGGGGCCGGGGTCTGCTGTGGTTCCCAGAGGTGAGGAGAGTGCCAAAAATGAAGAGAATCTGGAATGTAAGGCTTTTCTACTAGAGAAGCAGAAACGTTTCTGTTGCTGCCATTCATCTTGCCACCTGAATTGACATCCTGGTCACACTCAATTTACCTGGTAGCAAAAGACTTGCAGGAGCGAAAAACTCATTTTGGATCAAAAGATCCACAAGATCACCAACTGTGCAATTCGTCGTGCCCCAATCAAACAGTAATTCGCACGTGGGACTTTTTCCAGTTTGAAGTAATGCTTCAAATCTCCTTAAAAGCAAGTAACAAAGAAGCAAAATGAGTAAGTGAATTGAGTCCATATGAAAATCGGAGTTATGTCCCCATGCCCCTGTCTCACTCATAGCACCTGCTATGATACTCAAGGAAAGAAAGAATTAGGCAGAAATACCCAGAGACAGAATAGGCAGAGGGAAAAGGTGCGACAAAGTTAATGACGCAGTTAACACAAACTGAGCACTCACTGAGCATTCACACAGCAGCTCCAGGATGCACACGTGGCTTTATTGGAAGCTAGCATGATCATCATGCTGACCAATGAGAAAGCCAGGCTCAGTGAGGTCAAGTAACCAGCCCATAGCCACACAGCTAAAAAGATGCAGCCAAGCTGAGATAAAGATTTGGATCTCGCTTGACATAGGATGCTCATTACTTAGCTACATTACTCCCTACTTGACTAACTCTGCAGAAAAATTTTAAATAAATCAGCCTATATACTTGAAGAAACAGACTATGCATAAACTTAAAAAAATCCCTTTGATCTTAACTGTATTCCTACTGAATTGATCTTTCATTGCATTTTAAAAAGTTAACAATTAGTTTTGAAATGCTTTAAAAACCAGCACTGTTTTTCTGTTTTTGAAGTTCACAGGAAAGCTAATAACATCATGAAAAACCATTTACCTTTCACCCAGATTTGCCACTGACTGAGTTGGTAACAGTTTGTAATTTCAACGCTCTTGGAGTTCTCTCTTTCGGTCAGTGTGCGTGTGTGTATGTGTGTGAGGAGAGTAGGCCAGATGTCCTGTGCAGCATAGGCCTGATGGCTGAGACGTATCTGAATACTTTCTCACGGTTACATTCAGGTTAAAATTCTGGCAGAGACACTGTACAGGTGATCCATGTCCTCTCCACCTCACCATCTCCAGAGGCATTTTGTACAGTTAAGTGTGATGCTGTCCAATCACTTTTTAGGGAGAGTACCTCATACTTTGTCTTTACAAAAGTCCCTTTTCTCTCTGTAATTTATAGCCTTGGAATATTCTGCCTGTCTCATTCGCTAACAATCAAAGAAAGTTTTTGACATAGGTTTTAACTGCAATGACTAAGTAAACTCTGCATTTATATCTTACACTACAACAAGCAGAGAGGAGTGGAGAAGAAAAAATGGAAATCATCTGAAGACAGAGTCAGATACCCAGCTAAGATCTAAGGATTCTGTTCTTGGGTATGTTCTCTTTCCAAGCAACAACTTTCAAATTCAATTAGAACAACTCCCCAAACATGTTGTCAAAACACATTAGCAATTCACAGACTTGGAAATGCAGGCTCCAGAACTTAATCGTTCCTGTAGCAATCTTCTGTTCCCTCTATCTGGAAATGAGAAGTGTGAGGCACAGTGAACTGCTCTGGGCTTACCAGCCCAAGCCCATGAGCAAAGGTGGGAATCTTGATTCTAAAACAAAACACTCATTTGCAAGATCACATTACCAGCTTAGCTGATATAGGAGAATAAGGCAGTAACTGCACACAAAAAGAGGTTTCCCATCACCACGATCTCCTCTACTGTAGAGTTTACTTTCTTCAGTACATCATCAAAAAGTATCAATATCTACAAACCTCTCTAGATCGTGATGTAAGAATTTGAAAAGAAAAAGAATCTGTCACCTGATGTGTAATTGATTGTATCTGTCATCCCCAGATGGTTTCTTAATAGCTGCGGCTAATTTCTTCCATCCTTCCTGAGGATCAATAAAATCTGACAGCTTCCGAATCAATCCAACATTGAGGCAGCGCACATACGTTGATGGTGATATGGGTTTGTTCATCTTTTATGCCTAAAACATGGAAAGTACTCACTAGGATTTCACAGTTTTAGAGACAACATTCATAAACGTACACCTCACACTGTGTTGCATCATATGAAATGCTGGCAACAGACTATACCAATGTCAACTAGCTGACATCCTAAGAAGAAATTAGAATTGTAGTTTATTTGTCTAATTGAAGGACTTTTTTCTGACACTGAGATTTTCCAATTGGATCTTAGACAAAGGAGCAAAAACTTAGATTTATCAGAAAAATTCCTATGAGCATACTCAGAAATCTATTTTTAAAAGATTTTTATTTATTTATTTGACAGATAGACAGTGAGAGAGACAAAAGTCTTCCTTCTGTTGGTTTACTCCCCAAATGGCTGCCACGGCCAGCGCTGCGCTGATCTGAAGCCAGGAGCCAGGTGCTTCCTCCTGGTCTCCCATGTGGGTGCAGGGGCCAAAGCACTTGGGCCATCCTCCATTGCCCTCCCGGGCCACAGTGGAGAGCTGGACTGGAAGAGGAGCAACCGGGACTAGAACCCGGCACCCATATGGGATGCTGGTGCCGCAGGCAGAGAATTAACCAAGTGAGCCACGGCGCCGGCCCCTCAAATCTATTTAAAAAAGAGATTTGCATTTCAACTTAAAATATTTCTCTCAATCAGTACTTATTAACTACTAACAATTTATACAACATTCCTTGGTACAAGTAAACAAAAAATGTACTAGCATCCAAAGATAAGGCCTACCCACTTGCTTTTGACACAGCATGCACTCCCAGAGCCCTGAAGCTATTGCTGAGTCTGGGAAATCTGCCTGACCAGCACAGTTTTTCCTTATCACGCCCAAATCTGTGGTTCACCATGAGCTTTTCTCTCAATTTCCTTAATCCGTTTTTTTGCTATTCCACTCTGGAGAGCTGCAGCCAGGGATAAGTCTGACAACGTGACTTGTACATCAGAGCTGCTGAAAACAGCTGTAAAAGAACTTACTGTCTGAACAGACTGGGTGAATACAAATTCATGGGGATCCCTTTCCAGGGAGCCTTCCACGTGCTGTTCATACTTTCGTTCCTTCTCCCTGCCCTCAGTGACTGTGTCCTGCCTTTCCCTCTCTCCAAGTGGTCGCTACTTGTTCTCCATGTTCCTCAGTCTCAGTATGTGGTGATATTTCCTTCCTATTAAAGTGGTCGCTACTTGTTCTCCATGTTCCTCAGTCTCAGTATGTGGTGATATTTTCTCCCTATTAAGACAGATTCAGACTTTTGCATTATTTCTGCCTCCTTATATGTTTTTATTTTCAAGAAAACGCTTTTTGGAGTAAATAATACATTCATATGGCACAAAATTCAAAAGCTAGAAGAGCAGAGGCAGATCTCTGTATCCTAGGTTTCCAAGTTAGTAGGTTTTGAGTCTTCTCTTTGGTCTTCCTTCTTTGGTCAACGTCCCCTCCATCCAGAGACTTCTCATCACTACACACTGTACTGTAATCCTGTATTTGCTTGCTGACACTTTAACTATCTATCTGTCTCCTCCATTAGACTTTAAGCTCCATGAGCTCAGGGATCATGCCATTACTAACAGATACATCCTGACCTGCACACTGCAGACACTGGTGTTGTTAATTATTTACTTCAGGAATGAATAAACCATTGCCAAGTATCATACTAGGTGACATATATTTCACTATATATTTTTATATAGTTTTTCCCCATTTCTATGGACTTTCTGAAGACCCCTCATGCATGCCCAGAAATTCTGAAGTAGAGAATCTAAAATTCTACTTTCAAAACACATTTCTATACCAGTCCCAACCACTTATCTGGAAAAACATAAACCAAAATATCAACAGTGGTTATCACTTAATTATTTTTATTATTTATTTATTTATTTTTTGACAAGCAGAGTTAGACAGTAAGAGAGAGAGAGAGAGAGAGAAAGGTCTTCCTTTTTCCGTTGGTTCACCTCCCAAGTGGCCGCCACAGCTGGTGCATTGTGGCCAGCGCGCTACGCCGATCTGAAGCCAGGAGCCAGATGCTTCCTCCTGGTCTTCCATGAGGGTGTAGGGCCCAAGGACCTGGGCCATCCTCCACTGCACTCCCGGGCCACAGCAGAGAGCTGGAATGGAAGAGGAGCAACCGGGACAGACTCCGGCTCCCCAACTGGGACTAGAACCTGGGGTACCGGCGCCACAGGCAGAGGATTAGTCTATTGAGCCGCAGCACCGGCCCACTTAATGATTTTTATGGTGGTTTTTTCCCCCTCACCTTGCTCATCCTTATTTTCAACGACAAAAATACAATGCTTGTGCAGAAAAAAATAAAAAGTGTCATCTTTCAAACTGCTCCAAGTTTATTTAAGCACACTTAGGATTAACAGACATTGATTAGGACATACTGGGTACAAATACAGAGATAGCTATCTCTAGGACTGTTTTCTCACAGCATTAGCTCTTCCCACAGAAGGAAACCATACACAGTTTCAAATAAGACAACTCAGACCAGTAGGAAAGGTGGGGTGGCCTGAAACACACTAAAAGGAGTCTGCATTGGAACCCAGTGCCTTCCTCCTCATGCATGTCCTCAGACACACAACTACTGTGCCCCAAATAAGAGCTCCAACACTGCTTGTCAAACAAAACAAGGACATTTCCAGACTCCATTATCGGCTCTCCAGTCACAGGGAGAGACAGGACAAGGAGGAGGGAAGATGTTCTTTGAGGCTGGGTCCAGGGCCATCCATGCTCTGGACCTTGGTTTCCTCATGTGGAAAGCAGACAGGCACACCCGAGGCACACTGTGAGAATTAAAACCAACAAATGCAACAGACTTGCTCTGTCACATCACGGTCATCCAAAAAAGGTAGCAATCAATATTTTCTGGCAGAAGTTACTCTCACATCACAGTTAGAACTAAGAAACGCGCAGTTGTATTTAAGCCCGGCATTTAGAATGCTGGGGAGGAGCCACCTGGGGTGCAAGCAGCAGGTCTGAGAATACAGCTGGGCTTCTCAGAACCGTTAACCCACCTACAACCTCTCCAACGACAGGTCCGGGATACGGCCGGGCTTCTCAGAACCGTTAACCCATTTACAACCTCTCCAACGACAGGTCCGGGATACAGCTGGGCTTCTCAGAACCGTTAACCCGTCTACAACCTCTCCAACGACAGGTCCGGGATACGGCCGGGCTTCTCAGAACCGTTAACTCATCTACAACCTCTCCAACGACAGGTCCGGGAACAGCTGGGCTTCTCAGAACCGTTAACCCGTCTACAACCTCTCCAACGACAGGTCCGGGATACAGCTGGGCTTCTCAGAACCGTTAACTCATCTACAACCTCTCCAACGACAGGTCCGGGATACAGCTGGGCTTCTCAGGACCGTTAACCCACCTACCACCTCTCCAACGACAGGTCCGGGATACGGCCGGGCTTCTCAGAACCGTTAACCCATTTACAACCTCTCCAACGACAGGTCCGGGATACGGCTGGGCTTGTCAGAACTGTTAACCCACCTACAACCTCTCCAACGACGGACTCGCGTCCAGGCGCTCCTCAGAATACCGGGCAGGCGCGGGCCTCCGGGGCGCACACCACACGGTCACCGGGAACGAGACCTGATGACGCCCGGAACTGAGGCGGCAGCGGACGCACTTTGGTGCGCCGCAAACGCACACCGCACGCAGCCTGGGCGAACTCGGACGGAACTCAACGCTAAGTCATTTCAAAGGCTTGGGACGCGCAGCCGAAGGCAATATGGCATCACCAACTCCCTGCCGAGGGCTCCCCGCTGTGAACAAGGACGGGGCCGCGCAGGTAAAGCCGGGAAGAGTTTTGTATCTGAGAGGAGGAGCGGCAGCGAGGTGAAGCACGAGCGCCCCGACCCCGCGAGGGGCCGGCCGCGTCGCCGGTGAGGAGGGGCGCGCGCGGCCCGCGGCCAGGCGGGGCCGCGAGCGCTTTCCCGGGAACCCGCCCCTTGAAGTGGGGCTCCTCGGAGGCGGCCAACGGGCTACTTCCGGGCATGCGCGGTGCGTCGTTCTGAGGCGCGCCATTCCCGGACGGTGCGTGGGCCAGGCCGAGCGGCTTCGGTAGGACAGCTGGGCCCGCCCGGGGAGGGTGACGTGGGCGAGGGGGGAGTGGCCGGTGTCGGCGCGGCTGGGCGCGAAGCCGGGATTTCGCGCACTCGGACACTCCGTGCCCGTGCGGGAAGGGGAGGGAGACGCCCGGGCCAGGTCCGCCCGGCTCGGCGGCGTGTTTTCCTCAGCTCAGTACAGGCGTAAAAAGCCGGGGAGCGGTTGCGCGTGCCCGAGGGCGAGGCTTGTTTCGGGAGCTGCACCGGTGGTGAAGGCCCTGCTGTTTTCTCTCGGGGTCCTCCTGCGGGGGCGCGGGGGTCCCTGCGCACTTGCGCCTGTTGGCTCGGGGCCCCTGGTGCTGGCGGCCGAGGCGGGGGCTCCAGGAGCTCGCTCCCCCCGTTGGCGGCCTCAGCCCTGCCTGTGAGCTCTGAGCGCAGAAGTGCAGCTGGCTGGAAGATGGGCGCAGGCTGCGCGCCCTCGCACGGAACGGGGTGTCGCTGCGGGGAGAGCCGCGCGCACGAGACTTGCTGCTCTGCTGGGGGCCCAGCCGGGCCTTCAGGCGCCCTCTTCAGTCGAGAGCCTCCACCCCCCAGGTCCGGGCGCCCTCAGCCCACCCTGGAGCCTGGGCGAGGGGCGGGGGACACCTGAGTGCGCGCGCAGCTGCCCGTGGCCTGCGAGGCTCCCCGCACGCCGTGGCGGGATCCGCCTCGGAGCCACGTTCCGCGGGATTTTCTGCCACCCGCCTGGCCGTCGCCCTCCACTCGCCGGAGCCAGAGTCGTGGTCGGTCAGGGCCGGGCCCGCAGCTGCGCCCGGAGCCCGCTGCTCTCCGCCTCCTGCAGGTGCCCCCAGCCGCTCTGAGCGCCCCTCCAGCGCCGCCCCTCTCGGGCACGCCTGGTCCGCCTCTGCCGCGACCTGGTTCTCCAGAAGTGGGCTACAGCCCGTTCCCGCACTGCTCCCGAACTCGCCTTTCATTTCTTCCCCCCAGCTCGGTGCGTTCGGGTGGCTCTGCCTCACTCCTTTTACCCGTTTCGAGGACGGGCACAGCCCCCTCTTGCGTTGGCCCTTCTGTTAGTGGACAAAAATGAACCCTCTTTCTTCCTCTTCACTTTTACAGTTATTTCCCACTAATTGTTCCCTGTATTCAGCCATCAGTGTTAATCGCACCCCTACTGTGTCCTTAGCATTATACATAATCATAAATTATTCAGGTCCCTTAGGGAATTCAGATTAAGAGTTAAATCATGCTACCCTATTCCTTTCTTGTTCATTGCTTCTCTGTGGTAACTGCCTCTGTGTTGCTTTTGTAGGGATTGTTACTTAAGAATGGAAGAGGATGCAGATTATATCCGATTTAGTTCTGTGTATTTCCTTAATGATCACATTGGATTTCACGGCACTATAAAAAACTCACCAAAGGACTTTATTGTTACTGAGATTGATGAACAGGGACAGTTAGTCAGTAAGCCCTTTGATGAGCTTACTACTAAAAGCCACATTGCTAAGCCACATAATTTTGCCAAAAAGCCAAAACTGGATCTTAAAAAAAATTCATCTGTTGATGATGGAAGTGAAGAAGTTGATACTTCGGCTAGGTGCTCTGATGGTGACCCAGGTGACCAATGTGATTCAGACCAGGAAGACAGCCTCAGTGGTGACACTTCTGAGTGTAAAGGAGAAACAGCTGATGCACTAAGCGCGTTTTTAGATGACAAAACAAATGAACTCTTGAGTCAGTTCGCCCTTGAAACCAAAGAGAAGTGGAACGCTGGCACTGAGCAAGTCGGACCACCTTCTGAATTGTTCTTAGGCGTGATTTCTGGCAAAAGGCGCAGGGCTGCTTTACATAGTGCTATTACACAGAAATTTCCTTTTTTACTGACTACAACAAAAACCTGTAAAGTTGTTGTAAGACCAAATCTTAGGTATAAAGAACTCTGTGACTTGGTGTCTGAAGAAGAAGCATCTGGGTTTTTTAAATATTTGGGTGCGAAGAAAGAAAATTCCAGGTTTGCTTTTAAGCCTGATACAAACAAAGAGCGCAGAAGAGCCGTCCACCATTTTGTAAATGAAAGGTTTGGGCGCTTGTTGGAAACCGAGTCTTCTGAATTGGGTTGCTGTGACGGAGATCAGAAATTGGTGGTGACAGTAAGGTTGCGTGAAGAAGCCCACAGCCACAGGAAGAGGTCTCGGGAGAAAGTTGCACATACAGGTAATTTACTACACCATCATCGTTTTCTTGGATAAGCTTAATTACATTGACGGTTGTGTGAAGGCTGAAGTAATTTCAAATGAATTGACTAGCCATGAGAGGAATTGGAAGATGAAGCCTCTCAACTTAGGCTAAAGGTGAAAATGATCAGCCGGCGCTGCGGCTCACTAGGCTAATCCTCCGCCTTGCGGTGCCGGCACACCGGGTTCTAGTCCCGGTCGGGGCGCCGGATTCTGTCCCGGTTGCCCCTCTTCCAGGCCAGCTCTCTGCTGTGGCCAGGGAGTGCAGTGGAGGATGGCCCAAGTGCTTGGGCCCTGCACCCCATGGGAGACCAGGATAAGTACCTGGCTCCTGCCATCGATAGGCGCGGTGCGCTGGCTGCAGCGCGCCGGCCGCGGCGGCCATTGAAGGGTGAACCAACGGCAAAGGAAGACGTTTCTCTCTGTCTCCCTCTCTTTCCATTCTGCCTGCCAAAAAAAAAAAAAAAAAAAGTAAAAATGATCCTTGTTGATGAAAGAATGGGGAACACAGACACGGGTTAGCGTAGTCACAGAGGTGTAAAGTTGAAGTAGTTATTTTGTGTGAAATAAGTTTTGTTGACAGTGAATGCCTATTTCATATTTTGAAAACCACCCAAATTAACATGAAGTATTTGGAGAGAAGAAAGGTATGTTTGCATTAATACCTTGTAGTCTGGTCTCCCCAAGATAGGAAACCTGACAGCTTGCCTCTTTCAGTCTTCTGAAAGATGAGTTCAGAGTTCAGTTTGCATTGTAAGCACTAAAGGGTCTTTGGAAAGCTGGGGTTTCTGAGTACCATTTCCAGTTTCTGATTCAGGAGGATTGAGGTGGGGCTTTCACAGATATTCAGGCATTGCTTTCTGTACTGATCTGGGGACTGCGTTTTGAGAATCACTGGTTGTGGTGCTGTGGCTCACTTGGTTAATCCTCCGCCTGCACTGCTGGCATCCCATATGGATGCCGGGTTTTAGTCCTGCTTGCCCCTCTTCCAGTCCAGCTCTCTGCTGTGGCATGGGAGGGCAGTGGAGGATGGCCCAAGTGCTGGGGCCCTGCACCCACATGGGAGACCAGGAGGATGCACCTAGCTCCTGGCTTTGGATCGGTGTAGCTGCGGTCATAGTGGCCATTTGCGGGGTGAACCAACGGAAGGAAGACCTTTCTCTCTCTCTCTCTAACTCTAGATGCCAAATTAAAAAAAAAAAATCACTGGTTTAGTAAATCCTAGCATGGAGGGAACCGATGAACTCATACCATGCAAGTCCAGGTTTAATCGGCCTGTATATGGTACTGGGAAGAATAGGAGGAGTTTCTTTAACTTTTTTTTTTTTTTTTTTAACAATTATTGTGTTTATTTGAAAGGCAGAGTGACAGAGAAAAACTTCGATCTGCTAGCTAACACTTCAGATGGCTGCAGTGACCAGGTCAGGGCCAAGCCTAAGCCAGGATCTTGGAACCCCCATCTGGAACTCCCATATGGGTGTCAAGGCGCCATGGACTTGGGCCATCTTCTGCTGCATTCCCAAGCACTTTAGCAGGGTGCTAGATTGGACACAGAGCAGCCAGGACTCAAACTGGAGGTTTTATATGGTATGCCTATGTCTCAAGTGGCGGCTTAACCTGCTGCACCTCTGCACCGGCCTGGGATGGGAATAGTTTCAGATGGCTGCTTTTGTTTACTAAGTCAGGAGAAGACCAGCAGAACACTGCACGGGGCATGTGCCATTTAAGCAGGGTAGTGCTTGTAGGTTTCTGGTGCAAATGAAAAGATTCCTGACTTTGGAGCTGTGTGAATTTATTTTGCATTTATGACTTTAGTTCATAAAAAGGCTTATGAAATGTTTACTGTCTTTAAGACTTGATTTCCACAAATGCGAAAATAGGAAAAATAATACTATGGCGAATTACTTAACAATCAGTAAGCTTTTGTTGTGCTTTAAAAGTAGAGTAATAACAAAACCCAACTGATAATGAGTTCTAAAAGTTGAATGGACTAAAGAATTTTTTTAGTATATAACAATTACATTTAGCATCCTTTTCCTTCCTGGCAACTTTTGTCTCATTGTTTGACTTGCCTTTCTCCATGAGAAAGCTGTTGCTACAGGACTTGGCTCATTAGGCCTGCAATAAATGTGAGTGGAAGGCCGCTGCTGAGGCTCAATAGGCTAATCCTCCGCTTGAGGCACCGGCACACCGGGTTCTAGTCCCGGTCGGGGCGCCGGATTCTGTCCTGGTTGCCCCTCTTCCAGGCCAGCTCTCTGCTGTGGCCAGGGAGTGCAGTGGAGGATGGCCCAAGTGCTTAGGCCCTGCACCCCATGGGAGACCAGGAGAAGCACCTGGCTCCTGCCTTCGGATCAGCGCGGTGCGCCGGCCGTGATGGCCCTTGGAGGGTGAACCAACGGCAAAGGAAGACCTTTCTCTCTCACTGTCCACTCTGCCTATCAAAAAAATAAAAATAAATGTGAGTGGAGAAATGTATTAGCATTACATGCAAGGAAAAAAATCACTGCTAAGTGAGTTACGCAATTTTAGGAGGTCTTGTTATATATATATATAATTTTTTATACATAAATATATGTATTTTTCAAAGATTTATTTATTTATTTGAAAGGCAGGGTTACAGAGAGAGGGAGAGACAGAAAGATCTTTGATCTGCTGGTTGACTGCCCAAATGGCCACAATGGCTGGGGCTGGGGCAAGCCAAAACCAGGAGCTACCATGTGGGTACAGGGGCCTAAGCACTTGGGCCATCTTCTATTGCTTTCCCAGGCCGTTAACAGGGAGCTGGATTGGAAATACAGCATATGGGATGGGCAGCTAGACCATAGCATTGGTCCCAGAATTTCCTTTTTTAAAAAAGAAAAAAAAAACCTATTTCATAGACTTAATATAGGCGCATAGAAGTACGTGCAACACACATACACAGAGGGAGAGGGAGATATCTTTCATTTGCTGATTCACTTCCCAAATGCCTGCAACAACCAGAGCTGGCCTAACTCAGAAATCTTGATTTCTCTTCTTTTCTTTTCTTTTTCTTTTTTTTTTTTTTTTAATTTGACAGGTAGAGTTACAGACAGAGAGAAAGGTCTTCGTTCCCTTGGTTCACTCCCCAAGTGGCCGCCACGGCTGGCGCTACGCTGATCCAAAGCCAGGTGCTTCCTCCTTGTCTCCCATGCCGGTGTAGGGGCCCAAGCACTAGGGCCATCCTCCACTGCCCTCCCATGCCACAGCAGAGAGCTGGACTAGAAGAGGGGCAGCTGGGACTAGAACCGGAGCCCATATGGGATGCCGGTGCCACAGGCGGAGGATTAACCAAGTGAATCACGGGGCCGGCCCCAGAAACCTTAATTTCCATCCAAGTCTGCCACATGGGTGTCTGGAACCCAGGCACTTGAGCTGGCATTTGCTGCCTCCCAGAAATATTAATTGTAAGCTGGATTGGTAGTGGAGTGGCCAGGACTTGAACCAGGCATTCTGATAAGGGACGTGGGGTTTCAAGCAGCGGCTTAACCCTGCTGCACCACAATTTCCACCCCTCCTTCCTTTTTACAGCTGAATAACATCCCATTGTATTTGTTTATCACTCATCTGTAGTGGACATGAGTCGCTTTCACCTTTTGGGGAATTATTCTGCTGTGAACAGAGCATACAAATATTTATGCAAGTCCGTATGTTCTTTGGGGGTATACACCGAGATGTATAATTGCTGGGTCCCATGGTTATTCGTGATATTTTTTTTTTTTTGTAGAAATTGTAATAGCATTTTCCTAGTGTTCTATTTGAAGAGGAGTTTTATTAAAGAATTGAAGCAATCCATGACATTATCATTTTATATATTGCATTCCTAGCACTAGAAGTTTCCTTTGGCTCTATCTTTGGTCTCCCAGTTTCATTTATTACATTCATGCTTTCTTTTACTCTCTAAGATTATTTTAGTAGGTCTTTAAAAACATTTGCCTGCTGATTTCATCTGTCATTTCTGAGTCTGTGTCTGTTGACTGACATTTATGTGTGCTCTTGGTCACATTTTCCTGATTCTAAGCATGCCTAGTAATCTTTTTATTGGAGGACAGAGTGTGCATGTTGCCTTGTGAGTGTGTCTGGATTTTTTTGTATACTTTTAAGGAGTGTTGAACGTTGCTCTTGCGGGGCCATTTGAGGCTTCATTCTAAGTTTTATTAAGGGGAGTTTGGAATCGGCTTTACTCTGGCGGTTATGTATAGCTCCACTACAGTTGCAATATCCTGTGGTCTCTGCTGAACATGTTGCTGTTGAATTAGATCTTTCCTCTCTGGCTATAACCTCTTGAATTTGCAAGTGCCTTGTATTTTGTCTAGCCTGCCTGAATTTTGTAGCTAGCATCCAGATGGCTCTCAAAGATTCTTGGCTCATGGTGGTCATGCCCTTGTGAGGTCCCTACCACATTGAATCCGGGCCAGCCTGTTTACCAATAGAATACAGCGGAAGTGACATGAGTCACAACATGTTACTCAGAGGGAAGCCAGTCTCCAGCCTTGAATACACCCCAGAAGTCCTGTCAAGAGAAACCAGGGCCTCCCACCAACAGCCTGTACCAGCTGACCACGATTTGGATGGGCTGCCCTGGAAGAAGATCTCCCAGCTTCAGCTGTCCAGCTGTGACTTTGCAGTGCACCTTGACATACGTGCCCTCTCCCCAGCACCTGGTCCATAGGAATTACGGGGTAGCAGTCAGTCTGCTTGGGCTGCCGGGCCGTCTGGTTAGGCTGAGTGTCTGTGGGTCCCTCGGGCTTTAGTGGAATCTCTCTGTGTGCAGACTGGAAGCTCTGATAGGGAGGTTTGCTCTAAGACTTACTCTTACCTCTCCCCACTGTAACATCCTGTTCAGTGTATGAGCCTGTGTTTTTGTTTTTTTTTTTTTAATTTTATTTGGTTATTTGAGAGGTAGAGTTATAGAGAGAGGAGAGACAGAGAGAGAAGGCTTTTAATCTGCTGGTTCACTCTTTCCAGATGATTGCAATGGCTGGAGCTGAGCTGATCTAAAGTCAGAAGCCAGGAGCTTCTGGGTCTCCGACGCGGTGCAGGGGCCCAAGCACTTGGGCCATCTTCTGCTGCTTCCCCAGGCCATAGCAGAGAGCTGGGTCGAAAGAGGAGCAGCCAGGACACAAACTGGCGCTGCAGGCAGAAGCTTAGCCCACTGCTCCATGGGGCCAGCCCAAACCTGCAGCTTTGACTGCATCTCCAAGCTGGTTGCAGTTCTCCTCTCAGCAGAGAGGCAGAGGCCACCAAGTGAGGACACTGCCCCTTAGTGTTGGCAGAGACAGCCGGTGTTGGAAGCTGCCCCTTAGTGTTAGCAGAGACAGCTGGTGTTGGAAGCTGCCCCTTAGTGTTAGCAGAGACGGGTGCTGTAGGTTCTTGTGTTTGTGCAAGAATGAATTCAGACTGAGAGAGAACAGTGGTAAGAAAGGTAGCAGGGTTTATTGGGCATAATAAAGGGGCTTCCCTTAGAGCGGCTGTGAAGATTTTATTGCCCCATGTTACCAGTGTTATCAGGTCAGGTAACCCCTTTGGTCCTGAGGGGAGAGAATTCTCCTGGGAGCTTTCCTTGGGGGGATAGCTGGGACCACCTTGGCAGGTTCTCAGGGTCTGGGCAGGACTTCGAAATGCAGATGCTGGGCTGCTATGGATGTCAGTTTCCTTAGGCCCTTCTCTCTCACATAGGCTAATTTCTAACTTCCTGCCTCACAGTTCTATGTATGACCTCATTTAATCTTTTTTTTTTTTTTTTTAAGATTTATTTATTTATTTGAAAGAGTTACGCAGAGAGAGGAGAGGCAGAGAGAGAGGTCTTACATCCGCTGGTTCACTTCCCAATTGGCTGCAGTGGCCAGAATTGCACCGATCTGAAGCCACAAGCTTCTTCCGGGTCCCCAACTCGGTTCGGGGGCCCAAGGACTTTGGCCATATTCTACCTCTTTCCCAGGCCATAGCAGGATTGGAAGTAGAGCAGCCATAACTCAAACTGGTGCCCATATGGGATGCTAGCACTGCAGGCGGAAGCCTTACCTTCTACACCACAGTACCAGCCCCATTTAATCTTTCTTACTTCTGGGGCCGGTGCTGTGGCATAGCAGGTGAAACTGCTACCTGAGGTGCTGGCATCCCACATGGCTTGAAGTGGAAGTCTCTGAAATTCAATTTTTAAGTTTGGGATAGTTGATTTTCTTTTGAATGTTTTCAATTTTCCAAGTTATTAGGGAAGTGTTATAAACATAAACTCATAAATTAGTGATCTTGTAGTAAGTTTTTATAAATGTTCCCATATTGCTAACAACAATCAATCTGAAAAGATAAGTATAAATCAGTCGAATGTTTGTAATTGGAACAAGTCTCATTCTCTTTAAACATTCAAGAACATGACCTTCTGTGTAAATGCAAATTAATTAATGCAGCAGTGTCATGGATCTGATTCTCTTGAAATGTTTCTATTCTGAATTGTGCATTTTTGTGGGTAACAAGAAATACTTACGTACTCAGGCTAATCAGCTGCAGGCTGATATTGCAAACAAGTCTGGGATTGATTCTCTGTGTGCCGTATGTCCACAGTGTCATGCCCAAGATTATCTGGGACAGATTTGAAACACTGAGTGCTAGTTATTAACGTTAGCTGTGAGGAGACCTCTGTGTGTGAATATGGTGTAGTGTTCACATGCTGCGTTGCTGTCCTGGAACTCCCAGTCAGTGGGATGAGTGAACAGGGAGCTGAGTTGGCCTGGGTGCTGTTGGGTGTCGCGGTGCAGACTTTGATGACTTGTGGAGGTGTGTAGGTAAGTAATCAGCACCTGTCTGGGTCACCCATTTGTTCATTGCTTCAGCAGATATATGACTATTTGTTCAGATGTTCTAGAGTTAGAGGGAATAATGGTCAATAAAACAAGCATATTCCAAGTACTTGGCCTTGCAATCTGAAAATAATTTCAGGGCAAACTGCTGCTATTGTGGGTTCTTGAACACTGAGGAGAAGTATGATGGGTAATAGAACACATGCATTATTGGGACCAGATGTTCCGAAATGCAAATCTGCTGAGTGTTCTGGTTCATCTCTTCCACAGTATTGTGGGATGTATGAATGGAACTGGTACTTGGGAGACCAAAAATGCCAATTTGAGCTGGAAATAAATGTCAAATTAAGGAACTTGAATTTTAATCTTTTTTTGAAGAAAAAATTTATTTGTATATTGAAAGGCTGTGTGGAAGGGAGAGAGACATATTGCATCAGCTGATTCCTTCCCCAAATGCCTGCAGCAGCCAGGACTGGCTCAGGCTGAAGCTTGGAGCCAGGAACTCCATCTAGATCTCCCAAATGAGTGGCAGGGACCCTAACTACTATGGCTGTCATCTGCGGCCTTCCCAGGAGCATTAGCAGGAAGCTGGATTAGAAGCAGAGTAGCCAGGACCCAAACTGGCACTCTGATACAGGATGTGGGCATCTCCAGTGACAGCTTAACCCACTGTACCTAAACACCACCCTTGTGTGACTTGAATGAGTCAACTAGCATTTTTAATATAATAGCTGAGCTCTATAATGTTTGTTTTGAATTTTGACTTAAAATATATTCTTTGTGTAAATTAGTTATTTGTGTCATTATCCTGATCTGTTAGTCTGCTAAGAATGTGATATGTGGTAACTGTAACCAATGATTAATTTTGTTTCAGCTTTTACCCTACGAAAGGAAAATGTGGACATGTTTGAAGCAATTGATCATTTAGCTGCCAAACTTGGTGTGATTCCTCCGGATTTTAGTTACACAGGCCTTAAAGACAAGAAAGCCATAACCTACCAAGCCATGGTTGTTAGAAAAGTGACTCCTGAGAGGTAATATGGTGCTGCCTTGGAAGAGAACTTCACTTCCATGCTGTACCACATAAATAAATATGAAATGAGAAACAGAATAATATTTGGAATATGTTACGCTCACAGATCACAGATTTAATATTACTAATTATCTTCTAAATAAGTTACATCTTTTTTTTTTTAGCTTTATTTTATTTGAAAGGCAAAGTTACAAAGAGAGGGGGAGACACAGAGGTTCTGTCACTGGCTTACCCTCCAAATAGTCACAATGGACAGAACTCGGGCATGCTGAAGCCAGAAGCCAAGAGCTTCATCCAGGCCTCCCATGTTAGAGCCGGGACCAAAGCACTTGGGCCAACTTCTGTGACTCTCCCAGGGAATTAGTGAGAAGCTGGATCCGATATGGAGCAGCCAGAGCATTGCAGGTGGTGGCTTAACTCCCTATGCCACAGTGCCAGCCCCAATCTTAAATGTAAATCTAAAAAGGAAGTTTAAGGGTTGAAATTTTGAGAAGTGACATATTTTAAATTGTATTGTTTCTAAACATCCTGTACTGTTCAAGTATGCAGTTTATATTAAGAAAAAATAGGAATAGTTATTTTCTTAATTACTGTGAGACTTCTGTGCCTTTATCATGGCTCCATATATTTAAAACAAATCCTTGTTGGGAGTGGGCATTTAGTTAAGATGCCCACATCCTACATTGAAGCAGTTGGCTGTGGTTCTATCTCCAGCTTCCTGCTAGTACAGATGTTGTGAGGCAGTGAAGTGGCTCACTCAGAGTTCATTCCCCACCACAAGAGAGACCTAGATTGAGTTCCTGGTTCTTGACTCCAGCCCTGACCATTACTGGTGTTTGGGAAGTTAACTAGCAAATGGGAGCATTGTGTCTATCCCTGCTGTCTTTCAAATGAAAAATAGAAATTAAAACAGACAAACAAAAAACCCTTGTTAAATAGAATGTAAACCACTCAAATTTAGCCTCTCTCTAGCTTACTCAAATTTTAAATGCATTTTTTAATTTAAAAGAAATATATATGCATTGTAGTTGCTAAAAAGTATAAAAAAGAAATTAAAAGTCACTAATTCCACTTTTCAGAAATAACTACAATAAACATTTTGATTTATCCATTTCTTTGTCAACTTTTTTTTTGCTTTATGCCATATACATATATGGCAGAAAGACATTTATTAAATATGAAAGTCATGCAGTTTATATGTTCCTTTTTAGAATAAAATAACTGGGGCAGATGTTGTGGAGCTGCAGGTTAAGCAGGTGCGTGGGATGCCTGTGTTCTGTATTGCCGGGGATTGAGTCCCACCTCTGCTTGCTGTCCAGCTTTTGCTAATGTGTACCCTAGGAGGCAGCAGATGATGGCTCAAGTACTTAGGTCCTTGCCACTCATGGAAGACACAGATGGGAGTTCTGGGCTGCTGACTTTGGCTTGGTCCTGCTCTGGTTATTGCGAGCATTTGGGGAATGAACCAGCTGATGGAAGCGCTTCTTCTTTCTTTTTGTCTGTTTGCCTTTCAAATGAATAAACTTAAAGAATATTTAATATTGCTATGTGAAAGTTTATGTCGCAGAGTACTTCGAAGTCATGTCCATCTTGTAGACTGATATACTTCAGCCTTCTAGTTTTCTTGCTATAAATATAACTTATTAATAACCTGATATTAAAATTTGTTTCTTGTGGCTATTTCCTAAGATAAACATCAAAAAGTTGAATCATTGAACCAAAATTCAGCCTCATTTGAGGTAACCCTGGTGTACTGATTGTAAGTCATCAGGTGTTTATGTGTCCATTCTGTGTAGACTGTGTGAGCGCTGGGGATCTCTTCTAAGAAAGACAGCAGTGTGTGAGGCTTTGCCTTCATGATCAAGGACTGCAGAACAGTCAGAGAGGACATCAGCTGTTACAGGGTGTGTGTAAGACAGAAGCTATTTCTTAACTACCAAAGACATGTTAGTAGCCCTAGAAGAGATGCCTTTGATTTAGCTTATAAATACAGAGTTTTACTTACCTTGTAAGTAGGAGTAGGATTTTATCAGATGCAGAAATATAGAGATCTGTAGGGGCGCTCAAGGAAAGTCTGCCCAATGGAGCAGATGATTCCTAAAACTGCAGAAAATGTGGGTGTGAAGGGGAGTTTCTGTCAGCTCTACAGGACCTTAAAAGTTATGCTTTGAAAAGTAGAATGTATCCTTCAGCTACTGGGAAAGGACTGAGGTCTGAGTGAGGAGCTGTTCAGAGCGGGATTTCAGGAACATTGTCAGGTACCAGTGATTTTCTTGGTAATGTTGCAAATACAGTCTTAGAAGGAAAGGGAAGGAGAAGGAGGTTTGCACGAGCTCCTGTCCTCTGCTGTGAGGCGACATCAGGCTCAGGGCACATGTGGAACCAGAGCACGTGCGAGGTACGTCTGAGTTCTTTGGGTAAACTGTTAATATCAGCTTATAATATTGAATAAATAGTATACACTGTTGAAATAACAAATGTATAAATAAAAATAGAAAATAAATTTTCTAGAAGTATTCTGATACAAGAGGTCACCCAGCAACTGTCTTTTAAAAGCTTAATATTAAAGAAAATTTTAAATGTAAGAGTTAACTGAATCTATGTGATATGTCACTTACAGGTTGAAAAGTATTGAAAAAGAAATTGCAAAGAAGGGAATGAATGTGTTTAATGTCCGATCTGTGAATGCAGCTCTGAGACTTGGTCAACTAAAAGGAAATCACTTTGACATTGTCATCAGGAATGTAAGAAATTGGAACGGTGATCCTGTAAACCTGAGAGAGAGGATTTTGGAGGCCATAGAAAACGTGAAGGTAGGAAGAAGTTAAAGTCCCTGTGATGCAGTGCAGGCTCCCTCCCCACACAGAGGCCAGAGGGGAGCTTTTCCTTGTGCCTGTCCATGTGCATGCATAATTACATTATATTACAGTCTGAAGTGATAATTAGGGTCATTTGGCTTATTTTCCTTTTTATTATTATTATTATTATTATTTGAAAGAGCCACACAGAGAGAAGGAGAGGCACAGAGAAAGAGGCGGGGGAGAGAGAGAGGTGTGTTCCTTCCACTGATTCACTCCCCAGTTGGCTGCAAGGGGCAGAGCTGCGCTGATCCAAAGCCAGGAGCCAGGAACTTCTTCTGGCTGCCACAAGGGTGCAGGGGCCCAAGGACTTGGGCCATCTTCTGCTTTCCCAGGCCACAGCAGAGAGCTGGATCAGAAGTGGAGCAGCTGGGACTCAAACCGGCGCCCATATGGGATGCCGGCACTGCAGGTGGCAGCTACCTGCTACGCCACAGCACCGGCCCCTGTTGTCTTCTTTATATACTTTTGTTTAAAAAAACACATAATGTTTAAAAAAACACAGACATAGGCACCACATGCAATCAACATAAAGGGGAAGGCACCGTTGGAGCGGCATACAAATGGTGCCATACCCCTGCCATGTAGGCTCCCAGTGTTACAGAGAACTGGTGAATTGAAAAACACTCAAGCCTCATTTCAGACAGCTTAATTTTTATAAGATCAAATGTGAAACTACTTGATACCTTTTTTGCCAAAATAGCAAGTGGTTTATTGTTTAAGAAATACACGTATGGAATTTCCTAGAAAAGCAAAGGAAACTCTTCACATAAGGATTTTTTTTTTCTTTAGCATCTGCCTAGATAGAGTAGGGTCTGTTTGTAAATTTTGTTCAGTAATACTTTTCAGAAATCTTTGGTAAATAGTTACATTTCAGAATTGTACACAATCTGTTTTTAACCTAATTTTAGATTTTCTTCAGTGACTATAAATTACAGAACATACATATTTTAGGATGTCTTATCAAAAAAAAAGTTTTTTTTCTGCCTGCCATTTAAATTTGCATGCAGCCATAGGCTTAGTCTGGTCGTTCCTACTGCAAAGGGCCCTGTGATAAATGTCTGGCTTTGCAAACCTGCAGTCCCTCTGCAGTTAATCAGCTGCCACTGCATGGAGGCAGCCACAGACAGCACGCAAGTGGATGGGCACAGCTGTGTTGCAATAAAACTTTATTGACAAAAACAGGTGTGGGACTGGGTTTGACCTGTCGGCTGTAGTAGTTTGCCAACCCCTAATCTACACTAGTAATTCTCAACTCTTTGTAAAGATGTCAGCAACTTCTGCTCCCAAGCCAGTGGAAGGAGAACATGTCGGGTAGCTGCTTGGGTATTGGTATTTTATAAAAACTCTCTAAGTGATTCTGCCCTGCAGCTGACATTGAGAAACACTGGTCCCAGCTTGTGGCCACAGAGACCTGCATTCCAGTTTGCTTCCCCTGCAGGAAAACATCAATGAAAAGCAGAAAGTGTCTCCCCGGAGGTCCTTTCCTTTGAAGCCCTCTCCCCTGCGTATTGATGGGCCTTCTCTGATTGTATGCTCTGCACGTGGTTTTGACCTTTTCCATAATGGACTTACCTGCAGGTCCACCTTTTTTCCCTCTGAAAAACTGTTGCTAAAATGATGTTTCTTAAAAATAGAGGGTGTTTCTCTGGACTCTGATAGCATTTATTACATTTCATTGGTACTTAGAAATATACAACTAAGAATTAGAAAACTCCTATTAGAAATAATCAGCTCTGACTGATTTCCTTGATGAGAGGAGGGAGTTGAGAAACCTGAAAATAAAGTCTGAGTTTTCTGTTAGAGGGAGATAGTGCTTTCTGTCATAAGCCTTTTTTATGGAGAGGGAGTTAAAATTATTATTGCAAGGTTTTATCTGATGTTATCTTCTCTAAATTTGGCATCCTTAAAACCCCTCAACTCTGAGACTTAGTGCAGGGAGTCCTCCGGCTGTGTATAGTTGGTGTTCGTGAACTATAGGAGGAAGCAGTGCAGTTCCTTTTGTCCCATGCCTCTGACAGATTGTCCTGGCTGGCTGTCAGCAGCGCCTGTTGACTGAGTAGACTCATGTTCCCCTCACCAAGTGAGTGTGGACGACTCCTGTCTTTCAAGAAACTGGCTGGCGCTGCTGTTCTCTTGGTGAGTCTGTGTTTAGCCACTGCACAGTTTCTTTAAAGGGTGCAGTAATGAATCCCAGCTTGCTGGGAAAGGTGGCAGATTTGTCCCCATTGAGCTGTCAAGTTTGTGTCCCTTCCCTGGAAGCCAGGTGCTGCAGCAGCCTGGCCGGCAGAGCACACATGTTGCTGCCCAAGTGACACTGTGGCATTTTCTTAGCCCCAGGCTTTCAGAAACTGCAACTAACTGATGAATGTATAAAGGAGCCATGACTTGCAGGATTTGAGAATAAGTCTGTTTCTTGTTCCCATGATCTTTAGACAGCAGGAGAATCTGAAAGTAAGAAGGAACTTCAGGGCAGGGCTGAGACTTGGTGACAGTTGGTCCCAGTGTGCTCTGAACTTTCTTGGGTTGAGCATTCAAAGTCCTCACGTCCCAGGGAACCACTTAGGAACAGGGAGGCAATGCTGATACGTGTTTAGAGCTTTCTACACTGTGCTTGTGTGCCCACTTAACTCTGTGCTCTTTAACCATTTAGCATTTATCAGACTATGTAGTCCCCGTGTGCCTACTGATGATTAAAGGATTGTTTTATTACAGTGGTATGGTTACATGTTTTGATTTAATAATTACATACATTTTTAAATTTATTATGTTGTCTTTGTAGAATAATGGCTTTGTGAATTACTATGGTCCTGAGCAGTTGGAGAAGGAAAGGAATGTTCATGCTGACCAGATTGGATTGGCTTTGCTGAAGGAGGAGATGGTATGAGTTTTAAAAAACATAATTCTGTCTGTTTTGTCATTTTTACGTATGATACACAGCAACACCTTGCTTCCTTAGCCCTAGCGCATGGACACATGTAAATACACAGACACACCATGTATCACGTCACCGCGTGTTTATTAAGCAGCTGCAAGGTCTGGCCCAGCCAAGGCAGCAGCAGACACTACTTCAAATTCAGTAAATCTGTAGCAGGCTAATTTTTAAGTTGATCATTCTGTGTGTCCCGTGAATGATGTTGTAAACGTCCAGATGGCACTTGGCAGAGAAACTGCTCCCCAGCCCTGGCAGACAGACTGTTGAGTGTGCTGCTGTAGCAGGTTTCTTAGGTTCTCCAGGCCTTAGTTTCCTTGTCTGTAAAATAGGGGTCACCTGTTTATCACAAGATTTTTGTGAGAAGTGATTGAAAACAACTTCTGTGAGAGAAGCTAGTGTGGCGTTAGCCCTGTAGCAGCCAGATGCTCCCAAATTTTTGGTCACACCAGCTGTACTCTACTGCACAGGGGTAGAAATTCAAGGGCCAAGTTTTGGTCTGGTGTAAAAAGGACTTTTCTTGGACTGCTGCTGTGACATGATAGGTTAAGCCTCTACCTGTGTTGCCGGCATCCCAAAAGGATGCTGATTGGAGTCCTAGCTGCTCCTCTTCTGATCTAGCTCCCTGCTTAATGGGCTGGGAAAACTGGAAGACTGGCCCAATTGCTTGGGCCCCTGCACCTGTGTGGGAAACACAGCAGACGCTCCTGGCTCCTAGCTTTGGATCGGCCCAGCTGCTGCCATTGTGGCCATTTGAGGAATGAGCCAGTGGATGGGAGACCTCTGTAACTCTGCCTTTCAAATAAATAAATCTTTAAAAAAAAAAAAAAAGATTTTACTAACTCTGGCCTGAAGGAATGGGATTCCTCCCCTAAAGGACTGGCATTTTCTGTTTCTCATAGCATTTAAGCAAAAGTTGGATGGCTACCCTGCTACCTCTTTCAGACTTCCTATTGCATGTTCCTGAGTTGTTCTACATTCTTCAGAGTATTTGTTATCTATTTTTTGCCATATAACCTCAGAATTTCCTGGCTTTTAATGGGGATTGGGAAGGTTGGACTTGTGGACAGGAAAATCATTAGGTCTGGCCCTGCCAAGGCAACCACAGACAGGATTCTGAATTCAGTAAATCTGTAGCAGGCTAATTTTCAAATTGATCATTTTGTATGGCCCTTATGGCCTTGGTAAATCTGTAGCAGGCTAATTTTCAAATTGATCATTTTGTATGGCCCTTATGGCCTTGGAGGACAAAAACCACCCCACAGGCCCTGGAAGATGGGCATTTACCATGGCGTCTTTTCTGAGAGTTGGGAGTCTGCGAGCAGCCTCGTGTGGTACATCAGGGTCTCCAAGAGGGCCAGGCTGCTTCTTCAAGACATGGTGGTGGAGAGGGTCTGCTGCTGGCACACCACTATGCATGTTGGCTTGAGGCTTTGATTCCATAGCAGAGCTCTTCATGTGGGTGTGGAGAGGGAGAGGGAATGGAAGCCACCGTGTCTTTTAAAACTGCGTTTTGAAAACTACTTCCTCCACTTCTGCTGTGCTCCACACACCGTGAGTATGAATACTCCACCAGGCCTGAGTTCCGGGTGGTGGGGCCCTTTGGGGCCCGTCTGAGTCAGGTTCCTGGAGCTAAGCTGCTGTGTCCTTGTTTTGCTGGGAAGCACCCCCCAACCTTTGCACTCTTGGACTGTCATTTTCATCCCATTCCCCAAGGAGAAGTGGAGCCCCCTTGGCCTCAGATCTGCAGAATCCCATGCTTCTCATCTAAAGTGTTAGAGCATTTTATTGTTCATTGAGCCTTTTCCAGTAGACAGCGTGGTTGGATGGAAACCACGTCTCTTAGTGCGCTGTCCCTAACACCTCACACAGTGCCAGAGGCACATGACAGGTGCTCAGTAGTATTTGTTGGGCTATGTTAATTTCTCAGTGTTTGAATGAATGCATAATAAACAGGAGATTGCATGGGACACTGGGTTGAATGACCTCTTTGGAAGATCTTCCCTACTCTAACATAGATGTTTGGGAATAAATCACAGTGCTGGACACAGTAATAAAATAAAGAAACTGGGTAATGGTATCTTAAAGCACATCTGTTCATCTAGTTACGCTTTACCATAAAATGTTAAAGCTTACATCTTTTATTAAGATTTTGGCAGTTATTTTTAATTGGTAGTTATTTTTAAAAACAAAAAATTCAGGAAATTGTGAATACAAAGTTAACCTGTTACCTAATGCTTTCTTTTTGCCCTGTTTATACTTGTATGTTGAGTAAATCTGAGTGTTTAGATACTTACTTTACATTGTGTCCATAGCACGGTAATGGAGGTGAAGAATGGAAGGGATTTGGAGGACTAGTTGATGGACGTCTGGGTTGATTCCATATCTTAGTTGTTGAGAATTGTGCTGCAGTGAACATGGAGGTACAACTATTTCTTTCATGTGCTGATCTCTTTTTTGGTTTGGAATGGCTGGATCATATCGTGGGTTTTTATTCAGGTTTCTGCAGTATCTCCATACTGTCTTCATAGTGGTTGCACCAGATTACGTTCTTACCAGCAGTGGATCAGAATACCTTTTTCCCCCACATCCTCCCCAGCATTTGTTGTTTACTGATTTCTGTATGCTGGCCATTTTAACTGGAGTGAGGTAGAGCCTCTTGTGGTTTTGATTTGCATTTCCCTGATGGCTAGTGAACCTGTCTGTGGGCCATTTGAATTAACTCTTGAGAAATGCCTGTGTAAGTCCATTGCTCATTTCTTTACTGGATTGTTTTGTTGTTGAATTTCTTGAGCTCTCTATATATTTTGGATGTTAACCCTTTATCAGTTGCACACTTTGCAAATATTTTCTCCCATTCTGTTGGTTGCTTCTTCATTTTGCTGAGTCTTTCCTTTGCAGTGCAGAAGCTTCTCAGCTTGATATAATCCCATTTGTTGATTTGGCTTTGATTGCCTTTGCTTCCAGGGTCTTTTCTAAGAAGTCTTTGCCTATGCCAATGTCTTGTAAGATTTCCTCCATGTTCTCTAATAATTTGATGGAATTGAGTTGTAGATTGAGGTCCTTGATCCATTTTGAGTGGATTTTTTTTTTTTTTTTTTTTTTGACAGGCAGAGTGGACAGTGAGAGAGAGACATAGAGAGAAAGGTCTTCCTTTGCCGCTGGTTCACCCTCCAATGGCCGCCGCTGCAGCCGGCACACCGCGCTGATCCTGGCAGGAGCCAGGAGCCAGGTGCTTTTCCTGGTCTCCCATGGGGTGCAGGGCCCAAGCACCTGGGCCATCCTCCACTGCACTCCCTGGCCATAGCAGAGAGCTGGCCTGGAAGAGGGGCAACCGGGACAGAATCCGGCACCCCAACCGGGACTAGAACCCGGTGTGCCGGCGCCGCAAGGTGGAGGATTAGCCTATTGAGCCACGGCGCCGGCTTTGAGTGGATTTTTGTGTAGGGTGTAAGGTAGGGGGTCTAATTTCATAGTTCTCCACCTAGAGATCCAGTTTTTCTAGTACCACTTGTTAAAGAGACTATCTCTGCTCCACGGATTAATTTTAGCTCCTTTATCAAATATAAATTGGCTGTAGGTGCATGGATTGATTTTTGGAGTTTATGTTCTGTCCCATTGGTCTATGAGTGTTTTTGTGCCAGTACCAGGCTGTTTAGATTATAACTGTCCTGTAGTGTGTCTTGAAATCAGGTATCCTGATGCTTCCAGCTTTGTTTTTGTTGTATATGGTTGCTTTAGCTATTTGGGGTCTCTTGTGTTTCCATATGAATTTCAACTTTGTTTTCTCTAGATCTACGAAGAATGTCATTGGTATTTTGATTGGGATCTCATTGAATCTGTAAATTGCTTTTGGTAGTTTGGACATTTTGGTGTTGGTTCTTTCAGCCCATGAACGTGGAAGATTTTTTTCATCTTTTAATATCTTCTGTTTCTTTCTTTAGTGTTTTGTAATTTTCATTGTAGAGATCTTTGAGTTCCTTGGTTAAATTTATTCCAAGGTGTTTATTTTTGCTGTTATTGTGAATGGTACTGATCTTACAAGTTCTTTCTCAGCCATGGCATTGTCTATGTATACAAAGGCTATTGATTTTTCTGTGTTGAGTAATCCTATTATTAATTTTATAAATTCCATTTCTAGCATTTCCTCAGTCTGTTCATCTTCACATTCTAATATTGAAATTTTGTTGTGTTCCTGGGGGGGGGGGTGTGTGGTCATGGTGACTTCCTTATTATTTCTTGAATTTAGGCTCGCTCTTTTGGCATTTATGGAGTTGATTTTTGATTTTTGATTTTTTCTTCTGTTGGTTTTTTTTTTTTTTTTTTTTTTTTTTGACAGGCAGAGTGGACAGTGAGAGAGAGAGACAGAGAGAAAGGTCTTCCTTTGCCGTTGGTTCACCCTCCAATGGCCGCCGCGGCCGGCGCGCTGCCGCCGGCGCACCGCGCTGATCCGATGGCAGGAGCCAGGAACCAGGTGCTTTTCCTGGTCTCCCATGGGGTGCAGGGCCCAAGCACCTGGGCCATCCTCCACTGCACTCCCTGGCCACAGCAGAGGGCTGGCCTGGAAGAGGGGCAACCGGGACAGAATCCGGCGCCCCGACCGGGACTAGAACCCGGTGTGTCGGCGCCGCTAGGCGGAGGATTAGCCTAGTGAGCCGCGGCGCCGGCTCTTCTGTTGGTTTTTATCTTTGGGATTATGGTTCTGTGGCTGCCCTTTCAGTGAATACCAGGAGGTATGTGATGGGAGTGGCCAGGGGACTCTGGTCAATGCTGTGGGGTGGGGCGAGGTTCCAGGCAACACTCAAGTTGGAAGTGGTAGAGCCCCGGTCCCAGCTACTCCCTACACCTTCTCATGCAGCCTCAGAGGCCTCAAGGTCTCACCATGGAGAGCTCCCACAGACGCCCAGACCAGAGGGCACTGTTGGCACGGGTGCCCCTTTCCACTTCCACTAGCTCCCCAGGCTGCAGTCTGGACCCATGCCACGCTGTCTCCAGCTCTGTCCCCACGGATTGGTGCAGACCAACCTCCCCCTACCTCCTCAAAAATGCCAGTGGCTCCAGTTCTCAGAGTTCTGTGGGTTCACATTAGCACTCAGCATGCAAGTTCCAGCCGTTTCCTTCCTCCTCTGCAGCTCCCCTGGAGGTTTTCTCTCCACGTCTCCTGCAAGCTTGTACCTCCTGCACTTGTGGGGAGCAATCCGGACTAGACTAAGTTACTCGAATTAAGACTTATTCTATGCATCTGCTCTCCCACAATATGGCGCTGGGAGAGAAGTAAACAGCTTCCGCACAGCTGCCTCCAGTTCAACTAATAAATTGTAGGACTTGCTCCTGATTGGAGGAGAGCAGCGTACTCGGCGTGTGGGCAGCTGAGTTGGGATTGGCGGAGGAGGACTATAAAGGAGGAGAGAGACGGCATGCACCAGGAACATCTATGGGGAACATCTAGCTGAAGGAACACCTGTGCAAGCCCCCAGAGAGCCAGCCGGCGGTGTGCCGCTCCCCTGCGGAAGTGGGGAATGTGGCCAGGGGGAACTGCCCTTCCACGGAGGTGGAAGGGATAGTAGCCGACCCGGGAAGAACCAGCAGCAAACCCGGGGAGGGCCGAGCAGACGAAAAGAACAGCGCAGGGTCCTGTGTCGTTCCTCCACGAAGAGGGGGAGCGACATAATGGTGCCGTGACTCGGATAGGAAACCTGACTCGGATAGGAAACCTAGCTCGGATAGGAAACCTGACTCGGATAGGAAACCTAGCTCGGATAGGAAACCTGACTCGGATAGGAAACCTAGGACGGATAGCAAACTTAGGAGGGAAGAAACGGGAAGAAGCAGGAAAATACCGGAGAGAGAGACTAGCAAACAGCCTAGGGAAAAGCCGGACGAAAAGGGTGCCGGAAGAAGCTATTGAAAGCCTAGGCATAGATTCGGATACGGACTACGGGGGGAAGCTGGGAGAAATCTTTAAGGTCGAAAGCGAAAGTGAAAGCTAGAACAAACAGACTCGGACGCGGACTGTGGGGAGAGGCCAGGAGAAATGAGGGAGGAATATCGTTGGAGGAAAGTTTGGGGAAACATACCGGGTAGAGAAAAATGTTAGGGAAATTGAAGCCGCGGGGGGCAGGCCAAGGCGGACACGAAAGCCACTTTGGGATTCTTAAGTTAGCCCGGGAATAGGGGGCGAAAAGTTGAAACCAGAAGCTGAGACGTAAGCCAGGTTGGGATCCGTCTGATTAGCCCGGGGAGCAAAGGACGGGAAGCCAAACCGTGGGGCGGAGACGTACGCTGGGTTGAATTCGCCAGGCTAGCCCGGGGAACTTAGATTGAATGCTAGTGGTGGACACGTAAGCTACGCTGTGTTACTCGCGGAAGCCGCCGCGTGCAGAGAGAGCACGGGGCGTGAATAGATAGGGAACGGGGCTGGCGTAGGCCGTGGTTCAGACGCGAAAGGGTTAAGCGTGGAGACCGCAGAGCGCGCGAAGCCGAGCCGCGCAAGAGCCGCGCAAAGCCGGGAAGCTGCGCAGATGAGAGAGGCGCGCGGGCTGAAGCGGCGCAGAGCCGGGAACCCGCCGGCGGGGCGAGGTGCCGGAAAGCCGCAGGGATAAGAGAAACAGAAGTTTAGAAGCAAAGTGAGAGAAATAGGAATGCTGGAAGATAGAAGTAAAATGGGAGAAATAGGAATGCCCGGAGATAGAGAAATAGAGAAATAGAAAGGCCTCCCTACAGCACTGCAATGTGAGAGCTTGGATTCGGTCTGCCTGATTAAGTGAGGCGATGAGCACGATGAGCACCTGCGGCGGCTAGCAGCTTATGCGCCGCAGGTCACCGAAGACAGGCACGAATTAACACCAGTAAGGCTTCCCCACAATACAACAATATTAAGCTTGGATTCGGTCTGCCTGATTTAAGGCGGTAAGCGCCAGCAAGCAGCTCGACCAGAGTATGAGCTGCAGGTCACCGAAGATAGGCACGAACCAACACTAATAAGTCTCCCCCACAATACGGCAATGAGAAGGCTTGGATTGGGTTTGCCTGATAGGTTTTGTAAACACCTGCAGGCAGTTCTAGCAGAGCAGAGCATGCGCTGCAGGGCACCGAACACAGGCACGCATCAGCGCCTAAAAACCTCCTCACAACATGGCGAAGAGAGGACCCGGATTCGGTTTGCCTGATAGGACTTGTAAGAGCCTGTGGCAACTCTAGCAAGTAGAGCAGAGTGTGTGCCGCGGGACACCGAAGACAGGCGCGTATCAACGCCAAAAATAAAAAGAAAGGGGGATCTGTGGGGAGCAATCCGGACTAGACTAAGTTACTCGAATTAAGACTTATTCTATGCATCTGCTCTCCCACAATATGGCGCTGGGAGAGAAGTAAACAGCTTCCGCACAGCTGCCTCCAGTTCAACTAATAAATTGTAGGACTTGCTCCTGATTGGAGGAGAGCAGCGTACTCGGCGTGTGGGCAGCCGAGTTGGGATTGGCGGAGGAGGACTATAAAGGAGGAGAGAGACGGCATGCACCAGGAACATCTATGGGGAACATCTAGCTGAAGGAACACCTGTGCAAGCCCCCAGAGAGCCAGCCGGCGGTGTGCCGCTCCCCTGCGGAAGTGGGGAATGTGGCCAGGGGGAACTGCCCTTCCACGGAGGTGGAAGGGATAGTAGCCGACCCGGGAAGAACCAGCAGCAAACCCGGGGAGGGCCGAGCAGACGAAAAGAACAGCGCAGGGTCCTGTGTCGTTCCTCCACGAAGAGGGGGAGCGACATGCACTGTCCACTGCATTGTTTCTTCCTAGCCTTGCAAAGCGTGCCGTTCCTAATCTGCTCTTTTTTAGAAGGTTTATTTCTACCTTTAATGCTGTTTAGTTTTTGAAAGCCTATTGAGAAAATTACAGCATCAAATATTTATTTGATGACTATCGTTTTAAAATGTCAGAATTTACATCTTTTTTTTTTTTTAATTGGTATCTTGCTTTATTTCTCAAGGTGAAGTCTGTAAAACTGTTTCTTACTCCAGAAGATGTGGATGATCCTGTAAACAGAGCAAAGAAATATTTTCTTCAAACCGGTATGTCGTCTAACTTCTTTAACCCATACATAATCTGGCAGACACATAATGTAAATGTTAGGCCAGCAAGGGCCATGCACTGAGACATAACTCTGAGAAGACACAGGTGTTGTGTGTTGTACGTTGAATCATTTTATTCCATCACCCTGGCACTTTGTTGTCATCAGATCTCTGGAATTTTGTCTCTTCTGACTGCTGTGTTGTCAGAAGTGAGAGGAGAAATAATTTCTTAGGGTTTCTTGGCCAACATCCCCTGGGAAGAAGGGAGTTGCAGATTCTAAACTGGCACTGATGGAGGTGTATACACAATTGGCACTGATGGCGATGTATAAGTCAGTACCAGTGGCAGTGTGATTCCTTACAGCTGGAGGAGACACCAGCCTTAGTGAACGGAGGATGTGCCTTACCCGTAGCGGGGGTTTTGGTCCTTTGACTATTCAGCCCTGACTGTGGATTTTGAAGACTTTGATCGAATGCAGTGTTAGGTGAGTGCTCAGTGGGAAGCCCTGAGGAGAGCAGGTGTCCGTGTGTATGCATGCGGACTGTGCGCGCTTGTCCTTGGCAGGCCCACCTGCACAGGTGTGTGACCTGATAGTTGGTTTCCTGGTGCATAAATTGAAGCTGGTGATTCTTCCTGCATGAGCAGCACCTGGTATGCGTAATCCAGTCCTTTCCAAGGCCCTACTTGAGTGGGCTTCTGTGGCAAGTGCAGCGGGCTGCATTTTAGAAAGCATCCTGTTGGCAGGTGGCAGTGAGCTGCTGGATCCGGAGCACAACCTTTTCTTACTCTAGAGATTCTGTGTACATGACCATATGATTCCTTACACGTCTTCAGCTCCTGGGATGGGCATTTGACTGCACTGTAATGAGAGCTTATGTCCCCCCTCATGATTCTAACTTCCTGCCAGTGGGCATCCTGGGAAATATCAAGTGTTGGCTCAAGTAGCTAGGTCCTTGCCACTCATGTAGGAGACCTGGATGGAATTCCTGGCTCTTAACTTCATCCTGGTCCAGCTTGGCTGGTGGTGTCATTTGGTTAGTAAAAATGTCTTTGTAATTTACCTACCTGCCTATCATCCATCTGCCCACCTGCCTATCTCAAATATATGTGTGTGTATATATATATATATATACACTGCAATCTCCAGCCCCTATCAGCTCAGCAGTTTATTTAATTTGTGGCCATTTTGTTTGTAGCTTATTCTAAAGTGAGGAGCTCTGGCAAGGCATTCTTAATGTTTTTTATTCTTTTCTTTTCTCTGTTTTGTTTGCTTATTTGAAAGGCAGAGTGACAGAGAAAAGGGGATACAGAGAGATACCTCTCTTTGCTGGTTCACTCCTCAAATGCCAGCAATAGTCAGAGTTGGACTAGGCCAAAGCCAGGAGCCAGCAACTCTGTCCAGGTCTCTCCCATGGGAGGCAGAGACCCAAGTACTTGGGTGTGCCTTTCCGGGTGTGCATTGGCAGGGAGCTGGATCTGAAGCGGAACAGCCAGCATGCACTGACACATGGGATGCAGATGTGTGCCACAATACCTTCCCCACCTGCTTTTTTTTTTTTTTAAAGCAGAGCGAGTGAACGGAGCGCCGTTGCACAAGTAACCTGTTGCGAGTGTAGCTGGCGTTAGCCTCATGCTGAGCATGGTGTTTGTGTTTGTGTTCACTGCCGCTTATTTGTAGAGCATGCAATACACGGGCCTTCAGTGCTGGCCTCTGAATTAAAGTGGCTGACTCTGATTTGCCCTTTCAGAGGATGCCAAGGGCACACTTGAGCTGATGCCTGAGTTCAGAGTTCGGGAGAGAGAGCTGTTGGAGTTGCTTCATCGCTTCAGCCTGACAGAGGAAGGCTGTACCAATGTGTGGTACTGTCTTCCCCACCACGTGCGCACGGTGTATGTCCACGCTTACCTCAGCCAAGTCTGGAACGAGGCCGCGTCCTACAGGCTTGAGGCCTATGGAACCCGTGTGGTGGAGGGCGACCTGGTGTGTCTGGACGACGTCCTTGACCAGGAGCATTGCCCAAACAGTAAAGTACGTATGGGGAGATCTGGTGTCCCAGGGTGGATCCACACCAGCGACACTTTGCTTTAAACACACTTTTTGTTTTATTTTTACTTCTATTTTCTCATCACCCTCTTCTCTGCTGCCAACCAAGGCTTAGCACCTACCAGTAAATGGAAAAGTAAGATAGTGGTGTGGAGTGAGAGGCAGTAAAGCTTTGAAGAAATTTCCACAAATAATGCACAAAACAGTCCCCTTAAAAGTAGGAGTCCATACACTACAAGTGGGCCCTTGTCCCTCCACACTAGGGGATTTTCTCCTCCTGCTCTGGAGAAGCAGCCTCTGTTGTTTGGCTGAGTTCTTCCAGAACTTGCGTGTGCTTTCGTGTCTGTGCATCAGAAACTGTACCCTGTTAGGTAGCAGAGGAAAGAAAAGGCAGGACTCAGGCTTAAAACTCGGACTATGGAAAGCTGGGGAAAAGGTTTTCTACAGTGTGAAACTGCATGTAATGATGTATTTTCAGTGAGTGTGATTTTTTGGTAGATGGGATGTTTTCCTCTCAGTGTCTTGGAAGCATTTCCTTCAGTGAAGTTGTATAGCTTATCTGTCTTATGCAGAGGGTTTCTCCTCCTGTCCCACTGGTGTCTTCACCTCTGTGGGCCTAAACTAGGTGATGAAGTTGGAAATACATTCCATGACTGTAATGCAGAAAGAGCTAAGTGCTGTGTTCCAGCATGGTCACCTCTGTCTCAGTGGAAGGATTTGCGTAGTGCACTCATATGTGACACCATGAAGTCACTGAATGTTAAAGCAGGACAGGGTAGTAGAGACCCTTTTTCCTGTGTGTGTGTGTGTGTGTGTGTGTGTACATACATATGTATATGAAATTTGAAAGGCAGAGATAGAGATCTCCCATTCTCTGGTTCACTCCCTCACTGCCTATAATGGTGCTGGGTTTGACCGGGAGCCAGGAACTCAGTCTTGATCTCCCACATGGGTGCCAGGGGCCCACATACTGGTATCATCACCTGCTGCCTTCCAGGGTGCACATCAGCAGGAAGCTGGAATGAGAAGCGGAGCCAAGACACGACTTCAGGTGTTCCTAAATGGATTGTTGGTGTCCCACACAAAGTCTTAATCCCTGGGCCAAATGCCCACCCTTAGAGACTCTCTTTTCTAACTGCCATTTTATAGAAGTGGGAATTAAAACTTAGATTGAAGAGGTGAGAGGTTCAGAGTCACATGGGCAGCAAGACTAGAGATACCCAGGGGCTGGCCCACACCCTGTATGATCTCCACAGAAAATCCCTGGTTCCTGGAGAAAGGTCCACATCTAGGACTAGGATGCAGCCCCATTTTCCCCAAAATACAGAACAAGGACACTGTGACTGCTGCCGTATCCAGGTGAATGAGAATGTTTTCTGTGTGTGAATTGAGGTGCTTGGTTTCAAGGAGTGGAACCCAGCTCAGAAATGTCAGAAAGGCATGTGCAGGCCCATGCTGGCTCAGGCACAGCTGTGTCCCGTGGCTGGGCAGTGTCCTCGAATAGCAAATGGTATCTCCTTTTTCATTTTTCAATTCTGCCTGTGTCTGTGAGATCCATTCCCACTGTGGCCCATAACTGGGAGACATGGTCTGTTGGTGGCCCCTAAGCCATGTAAGAGCCATGAAATCATCTGGTGTGGCCCTACAAGGCAGGACTGAAGTTCCATAACTCTACAGCTGGCTAGATTTTAAGTTGATTGTTTTGTGTGGCCCATGGTTGGTGTTATAAATAGCCACATGGCCCTGGGCAGAGAAGAGGCTTCCACCCCTGCTACAGGGCAAAGGGCCCTTCTTCCTCAGCGATGTCAACAGGAGCTGTGGAGTTGGGTCTCAGTGGCCCAGAACCAAATCCATCTGTATGTACTGGAGTTTGTGACTGTCCGCTGTGAGAGTCTAGGGCCCTGCCTGGAGCCATCCACCTGACCCGCATCTGAAAGCTGGGAGGGTTTTCTGGGAAAGGCAAGTACTGCTCTTGGAAGAGGGGATGGTCACAGCCAGGACAGCAGCTGTCTGCTCTGCTGTTCGCATGTGGATGGCTTCTGGGTGGGCAGCAAAGTGACTCACAGGAAGCTGCGCTGAATGCCAGGAGCAGTTGCTGTTGCTGAGAAGGGACAGTCAGACTGTGTGAAAGGATCCAAGAGCACCCTAGGTTTGACCCCCACCCCCCCACCCCGCGAGGCAGGGCCAGCACGGCACAGCTGGTGCTCCAGGAACATGTGGCTGCACGGCTTTGCAGGCGAGTCTTGACTGCTGTCATACCCAAGTTTTCATGTATTTTTTGGAACAGCAGTCTTCAGGCTTTATCACACACCTCCTTTTTGTCTTCCCACGTAGTCCTTTTTTTTTTTTTTTTTTTTTTTTTTTTTTTTTTTTTAAGATTTGTTATTTATTTGAGAGGGAAAGACAGAGAGAAATGTCTTCTGTCCGTTGGTTCACTCTCCAGTGACTGCAACAGCTGGAGGTGCGCCGATCTGAAGCCAGGAGCCAGGTGCTTCTTCCAGGTCTCCCATGTGGGTGCAGGGGCCCAAGGACTTGGGCCATCTTCTACTGCTTTCCTAGGCTATAGCAAAGAGCTGGATTGGAAGATGAGCAGCTGGGACTAGAACTAGCACCCATATGGGATGCCGACTCCACAGGCGGAGAATTAACCTACTGCCACAGCGCTGGCCCTGTCTTCCCACATACTCTGTGAAACAAGTGTGGGGAAACCCCTCTCCTGCCTGGAGCATGACAATGTGTGTTGGAGACGGTTGGGGTAAGGGGTTGGTTTTTCAGGTGCAGATTTTAAATTTTTAAATTTTGTTTATCTACAAGGCAGAGAGTCCAAGAGAGACCCGTCCACTGGTTGGTTCGCTCCCAAAATTCCTATAAGGGTTAAGGCTGTGCTGGAGCCAGGAGCCGAAAACCCCATCCAGATCTCCCACATGAGTGGGAGAGACCCAAGTGCTTGAGCTATTACCTGCTGCCCCCCAGGGTCTGCATTAGCAGGAAGCTGGGGTCAAGAGTTGGAGTCAGGAGTCAGATCCAGGCACTCCAGTGTGGGATGTGGGCATCTTAATCACTAGGCGAAATCACCCTGCAAAAGCAGATATTTGAGCATAATGAAGAGAAACCGTCTCACTTGGAAGAGGATTGTGAGGGACTGAGGTGGAAGGAGTAGCTTGCTGTTCTCTGTGTTTCTCAACTTCAGGAAAAACCAGTCTCATGTCTGTGCAGGCCCGTGCTGCAGACACAGCTCTAGGAAGACCCTGTCTGGATGTGAGTGCTCTCAGCCCAGGAATCGGATCAGGCAGAATGGGGCTGGACACATTGAGGGAAGCGGGAGCATTTGGGAGTTGCCTGTCTTTGCACCTTTTTGTTTGTTTCTTTGAAAATAGGTTCATCTGGTAACCAAGGAAGAGGAATTGGCTAACACATATACAATATATCAGGTAAATATGCCTAAAACTCAGTCATTTGGATTTGTTTGTGAACATTGTCCCTAAAAGAAAAATATTGTCCCTCCTTTTTTTAAAAATAGTTTTCTTAGAAAACATTTTTTTATGTATTTGAAAGGCATAGAAAGAGAATCTTCCTTCCACTGGTTCACCCCCCAAAATGTCCACAACAGCCAGAGCAGGGCCAGGCTGAAGCTGAAGGCAAGAGCTCCATCGCAGTCTTCCACATGGATAGCAGGGGCCCAAGTACTTGGGCCATCATCCACTGATTTCCCAGGCTGTGAGCATGGAGCTGGATCAGAAGCAGAGCAATAGCAACTAAAACGTGTGCTTCGATGTGTGTGGAGCAGTAGCTTAACCTGCCGCACCTCAACTCCTGCCTGTAACCCTCATTTTTAAAAGATGAATATATATATATATATATATATATATTTACAGTGGTTCAAGCTTGGTAAACTCTGATTGACCACCACAAAAATCAATATCTAGAACAGTTCTCTCTCTCCCAGATTTGTGGTGTCTCTTTGTAGTTAACCTCTGCCTTGTCCCCAGCCCTTGGCATCCACCAGTCTATTTTTCCATGACTCTGGCTTTGCCGATGAAAGAGGTCATGTGACTACAATCATTCCGTGTGTGTTCTTTGTGCCTCGCTTTACCCACTTCATGTCATGACTGTGAGAGTCATCCGTGTATCCTCCTTTGCTGCCTTTTGGTGCTGTTCAAGAAAACTGTCGAAGTCGTCCAGTGAGGGAGTGAAGACCCACAGAAGACAGTGATCACTTACAAAATGATGCTTTCTCAGTACTCGTGTGCTTTCTAATTTTTTAGTAGCTAAGAGAATTGTAAAACTTGTCACCCTTTGAGCAGTAGAACTAATGTGTGTTAAAGAATGGCCTTTGGGGATTGTGAGATTTCATAGAATTTCACTCTCTTGGGTCATGAAATGTACCTGCACTTTGTGAATAATAGTGGTTTGTGTAATCTGAGTTGAGTTGGCCACCTTGATTATATTTCTTTATCTGATAGATGAAAAAAATATCACAGCATGGTGTTCAGAGGCTGCTTTGGGCTGATTGTGATGTTTATGTCATAAGAGCCATGACAGAGCTGGGTCCCAGGCGTAAAAGATTTAAAATGCAGAAAACTGTGATCACCTCTCTTTGCAAAGGCTGTGTCATGTGTGTTTTATTCCTCCCTTTCACAGGTGGTTCTACCAGTGCTTGGCCACAGTACTCAGTATCCAGGGAACCTGGTGGGGCAATGGTACCAGGAACTGCTCAGCAGAGACGGGCTGCAGACATGCGGCTTCAGAGTGCCCGCTCTGAATCTGAATATGCCAGGGTGCTACCGGCAGATCCTGAAGCAGCCCCACAACCTCTGCCACCAGCTCCTGGAGGACCCCAGCTCTGGGGTCAGCAGGGAAGACCCTGCCGGCAGTGCAGTGCCTTTATGTCTATGCATTTCTTTTGACCTTGATGCTTCCTGTTGTGCTACAGTCTTCCTGAAGGAAATGATGAAGCATGACATTTGAAACTGACACCCTGGATGCTGTCCTGTCTGTGTCCGCTCTGTTGCAACCTTGACCACATAGCATCTTCAGGGGCTGACCTTAGGCACCACAGCTTCCGGAGCCCTAGGAACCCATGAGTGTCCATGCCTGGATCTGAGAGTCATCTCTCACCACAACTTGTGCTCTCTGTTAAGTGATGCTTCCATGGCCTTTATTTGCTGTTAGGAGAATTACACTCTTTAGAAATCCTTAGGAACATCCAAAACCACGAGATAACGTTTAAGGGGAAGTGAGAGGGAGTAAAGTTGGTGTCCTGTAGCTTGTTACTTAGAATCCTGGTGTACCTAGGTGGCGGTGCAAGCAAGCATCTTGCTGGGGAGAAGGAAGAGGCAGCAGTCTGCTCATTCCTGTGTCCTCACCTGGGTCTGTAGGGCAGGGCCATCCCAGTATTTGCGATGGCCACCCCAAGATAGGTATCATCCCTTTGAGACAAAGACTGAAATAAAATTTTTCATATTGTTCTGCGTCTTGACATAGACTGGCTCTGTTTACTTCTGTTGTTTCTAGTTTGTAAGACAGACAGACTTTGCTTAAACAGGTCTGTGCTCAGACCCTGACTCATGACTTTAGGTGTGTTAGTTTCAGAAGCCAGAGGACTCTACCTTCATAAGCCACAAGTGGTAGGATTGTCTCCACCTGCGAAGTTGCTAAGGTAATAAAACATTCTGCTTATTTAACAGTTTGAGTGTTTGGTGATTTAACTATCATCCTTAACCATTTGGTGTCTGTTGAACTTGGGAGAGCAGTGACTGGTGTGCATGGTGGGAAGACTGAGTGTTCTTCCATTGCTGGTGGTATGATGCCATCATACAGAGTGGTACCCATCAGCAGTGTGGCACTTGCATAGGCTTAGGTCAGCCAAGCCAGTGGGGATATTCACATGAGGAAATAAAATTCAAAAGAAGAACCAAAAACTATCTTTAGTGCAAAATTGCCTATTGCAGCATTTTAATATATAATGAAAGAAATTAGAAATGGTTTCCAAGACCTTATAAAATAACCAGAGGAAGTGAAGTGAGATGCATCAGAGCGTGATAACAGACGTGTCATTTAAAGTGGTTGTTACGCTAGGCTAAGACACTGCTTCAATACCAACAGCATCCCATATTAGAGCTCCTGTTCAAGTCTTGGCTGCTCCCATCCAGTCCAGCTCCCTGCTGAGGTTCCTGGGAAGACAGCCTGTAATGGCCCAAGTACTTGGGCCCCTCCTACCTACAAAGGAGCCCAGGATGGAGTTCCTGGCTTCTGCCTTTAATGTGGCCACTTGGGGATTGAATCAGCAGATGGAAGATGCCTCCCTGTCTTTCTCTCTCCCTCTTTCTCTGCTTTATAAATAAATAAATGATTTTTTGAAATGATGACGAAGGATTTAATTACATGAGAAAATGTTGCCCTCCCAAAACAACACATGTGTTAAAAACAGCAACATACTGAATTCATCCTTGACACATGGGAGACACATTGGCAGAGTGATGGAATTAGAGACAAGCTACCCTGGCTTAAACCCTGGTCATGCTGTTGTTAGCACTATGGACTCAGGCAGGTTCCTCAAAGCTTCCATTACTGGGTCTTGAAAGCAGAGTGTTGCTCCATTCTGCCTAGGACCATCAGTGTGAGGCCTTACTGGGTGAATGCAAATCGGCTTTAAAAAGTGCCTGGCAGTTAGTCACTGTTAAATGCATTTTGGCAGATGCAAGTTTGGAAGGGAAAAGGAGAAAAAATGAAAACATGTTAAAATGATGGGGTAATTTAATTTTTTAGTATTAAAAGTACCTTGTGTGTCACTATATGTTTTACAAGCAAATCTCAACATAAATGAGAAGTGTGGGGCCAGTGCCATGGCATAGAAGATTAAGTCTCCACCTGCAGAGCTGGCCTTCCATATGGGCACTTGTTCAAGTCCTAGAAGCTCCATTTCCAATCCAGCTCCCTGCTAATGACCTGGGAAAGTAGTAGAGGGTAGCCCAAGTGCTTGGGGCCCTGCACCCACATGGGAGACCCAGAAAAAGCTCCTGGCTTTGGATCAGCCCAGTTCCAGCCATTGAAGTCATTGGGGTTGGGGGTGGGGGTGAACCAGTGAATAGAGCATCTCTCTCTAACTCTGCCTTCAAGTAAAACTGAAAAAAATTGCAGAATATACTGTTGAGTTTTAATTTTTATTTATTTAATATATCTGAAAGAGAAACAGATCCTCCATCTGCTCGTTCACTCTCCACATGCTTGCAACAACCTAGGCTTGGTCACGCGGAAGTCAGGAACCTGGAATTCTATTCAGGTCTTCTACATGGACGTCAGGGACCCAAATCCTTGAGCTGTCACCTGCTGCCTCCCAGTGTGCGCATTAGCAGGAACCTGAAATCAGGAATGGAGCGAGGACTTGAGCCCAGCACTCTGTGTATGAAATGTGGGTATCCCTCCTGAGGTGTGTCTAAATGACTAGGCCAAGCACTCACCTCATTACCATTGATTTTTTTAAAAGTACCTTCACAAAAGTTTCAGTATGTATTGAGAATAAAGTGATGTTCTACATAGTAGGTAATACAGTTTTTAGGGAAGAAATTTAACTTCATTTCATGATATAAATTGTATCCTGTCCCAGTAATCAGAAAATTTTTAAGATTTACTTATTCATTTGGAAGTCAGAGAGGAGGAGACAGAGTTTCTATCTTCTGGCTCACTCTCCAGATGACAGCATAGCCAAGGCTGGCGCAGGCCGAAGCTGAGAGTTTTATCAGTCTCCCTAACTGGTGATGCAGACCCAAGTACTTGAGTTAGCTTCCACTACTTTCCTGGGCTGTTAGCAAGGAGCTGAATCCGAAGTGGAGTGTCCAGGAATGAACCGGCACCCGTATGGGATGGCGTTGGCTTTACCCACTATGCCACAATGCTGGCCCCAATTATATAAATTACTAAATCCCAGTTTTCAATTTTGAGTAGCACTTAGAAAATGTGAATGCTCCAAAGTGTGCTGTTACTGATGTTATTTTCTTTGCCAGTAGATGGCACTATAATTTTACATATTCATTTAGTGAATGTTGTGGCCACAAGTACAGAGTCACTACATTTCAAGTCTCCATAAGATGTATTTATGTATTGTTCATGTGAAAAATTATTTTATTCACCAGTAATACTTGCCATGCTAATTGTTTTTCGATCTAAAAACTTAGTGGACTTTGGACCACCCAGTGGCCATTCACCTGTGTTCTGTAGCTTTCCTTGGACATTTCATACCTTCATTCCATCTCTGAATTAGTTTGTCAGGCGTGCATTTGACACTAAGCAAGAGTTCCTGAGGAACAGTAAGTGAAACAAATTGAGTTTTTAAGTTGTAATAAGCCAGAAATCTCTTAACTTTTGATTACACTAACATTTATTGAGTGTCTGCTGTGCTGGTGTGTTAGGTTTTAATGTGTGTGCCAATTCT